CGTGAAAGCGCAGGCCTGAGTTTTCTTGGCATTGAACACAACCAAGTTGCTGGTACCCCATTCGGAAATGTGGTCCAAAGCCTGATTGAGTTCAGCGACAAGATTCTCCCGTTTCTCCTTGGTTTCTACCTGCCCAGCCGCTGCATGTCCAAAGTATCTCGCATGCACTGTACTATCGTCTGCATAGCAATGAATATTCGCATGTGGAACCAAATCATTGATATGCAGCAGAAAGAGTGTAGGGGATAGAACGGAGCCCTGAGGAACACCGGCATTCACTGACATGAACTGCGAACTACATCCGTCTGTAAGGACACGATTTCTACGTTCACGCAGGAAGTCAGCTACCCAGGCGCAGAGCTGAGCAGGCAGACCATATGCAGGAAGCTTGGAGAGAAGGCTTTTGTGCCAGACCCTGTCAAAAGCCTTGGCGATGTCAAGGCTAATAGCCAGAGACTCTCCCCGCTTGTCTATAGCTTCACCCCAGATGTGTGTCACGTACGCTAGAAGGTCAACCGTCGATCGATTCGGCCTAAATCCGTATTGATGATCGTGAATCAGAGAGTAATCTTCTAGGTAGGTAGCGGGTCAGATGGTTGTTAAGGACCCTTTCTAAGACTTTACACAACACTGAAGTGACAGCTATCGGCCGATAGTTAGCTGGGGCTGAGCGGTCCCCTTTTTTGGGCACCGGTTGCACATTGGCATCCCTCCATGCCTCCGGCACACGCCCCAAAGAGTAAGAGAGTTGGTACAGGCGCGTAAGCACGGGAGACAACTCCGCTGCACAACGCTTCAGCACAACTGCTGGGACGCCATCGGGTCCACTAGCCTTCCGGACGTCGAGTGATTGCAACTCCGCACGAACATCACGTTGCCTGATTTTAATGTCAGGCATCGTAGTGCCACAATGAGGAAGTGCAGGTGGCAGTGCATTGCAATCACTGATTCGGGAGTTGCCGCAAAGAGTTTTGCCAACAAATCAGCTTTCTCTTGCGGCTCATGAGCTAGTGACCCATCGCAGAGGTGGCAGCGAAGGCTGGCAGAAGTTGTGCTGCACGGCCTAAGCCAAACGCCAAAAACTACGGGAGCCCGTAGGGTGAGTTAACAATTCGTGGCCAGTACGTGCTACACGTTGGGCATCCGCTCTGATGTAAGCCTTTTTGCAAGACTTGGAAGCATTATTATAGGCAGCTTTCAGTGAGTCAACCCCGGGATCTTTAAGAGCGCGGCCTCTGGTCCAAGCGCGATATGCCGCCTGCTTACAAAAAACAGCATCAGCACAGTCGCTGATGAGTTCACGAGCGCTGTGATCAGCTGTGAAAGCGTAATGGTAGACAGAAAGTGATGTGGGTACGGTGCGAGAGAGTGGAAGATAGAGAAAGAGCAAAATAGAGAGTGGCGCGTAGTATGAAATATATGCTTCGCTTCAGCTGCATGCGCAACACTTTATTAAGGATTTTTGTTATTTCGGCTTGTCCAAATCGGCAGATTATATGTTTTCCATGATCCTTGAATTATTACCTTTAAATTAAAAAAAAATGGGTGCGTGTACTTATGTAGGCGCGTGAGAAGTTATCCTTCTTTGGCATCGTTTAAAATTAGTTTTTAATTGCATGCAAATAATTAATTACAATAAATTAATAAAAAGTCTGGAAAAGGACACAGTCAATAAAGTTCAGTTTTAATTTGAAAAAATAAATAAATAATCAAAATATTCAATTAACAATTCTACTGAATATAATTTATTAGAACATATGTGATTTGCACTTGTATGAAACTCAAACACGTATTCCGAATATACAAACTAGAAACATGTGGATATATATTATAAATATGAATACCTATAACTGTTGCTTTATTACAATAATAACATAAAAGTAACATTGAAAAATAAAGATGTGGTTTTTGGTTCTACTACACCAATGGTCAAGAGATGGCACTGTAGTCTCCTGAATCGCGCTTTGGTTCCGTTGTTCCAGATTAATAAATACTTTTGATAGGCCTTCACAATGCAGTCGTTAGCACCCACTAAATAGAGATTCTATTTCTATTTTGTTGGTAGATTTTCTTAATGTGCGGTAAACACAAAAGTAACAGTGTTAATTTTTTGTGTTACAGTGATGCGCGCGCATCTTAAAATTTCACTCTCATCTATTTTTCATAACGCGCCTAAAGAAGTATAACTTCAAAAATAAAAATCAACCGCGCTCGAGAATGTCCAGACATCGTTTTTTTTGCAACTTTGCAACCCTCCCACTCCCTTACGTCACGCTCAAATTGGCAGATTATTGAAATACACACTTTTCAGCATGTAATTAAACCACCATACCTTAACCTGACGCGCTCGAGTATTTCTGCCTATCGATTTTTTTTACTATTCTGATCGGCTGGTCTACTCGCACGGCACTACATGGAGAACTCAAATTTGGTAGAGGTACTCAACTCGATCGCGCTCGAGTTTATCCCCAAATCCCCTCTTGGGCTCCCCTATTATAACAATTTGGTGAAGATTTGATTAAATACTTTCGGATATACACGACGGCACTCCTCAAATACGAACAGTTCAAATATCTTTTTTGGATATTTTATTTACGATTTATAAAAAAGAGACAGCAGACCGTCTGGTCTGTAGTATAGCAGACCATATAATTAGTAATTTAATGTTTCTCTGGCTTACGAAATGTGAATAATAAAAAAACATAAAAAATTAAGAAATAATACAATTTTTTGCACTTTAGTCTAAAGTACCTTTAAAGTCAAATTAATATTTGGAGTCGGTGTGATGCATGTTTGATAGATCTGAGTTTGCATTGACTACTAGGGTTGGCATGGCACTGGCCATCTGGTGTCAGTACACCAAATAATAATTTGACTGTAAAAAATCTTTTAAGTCGAATTTATATTTGGTCTTAAGTAAAGTAAACGTAGACTTAAGTAAAGAAAATGTATTATTTCTTATAAAAAAAAAAATGGGTGCGTGTACTTATGTAGGCGCGTGAGAAGTTATCCTTCTTTGGCATCGTTTAAAATTAGTTTTTAATTGCATGCAAATAATTAATTACAATAAATTAATTAAAAGTCTGGAAAAGGACACAGTCAATAAAGTTCAGTTTTAATTTGAAAAAATAAATAAATAATCAAAATATTCAATTAAAATCGCTACTGAATATAATTTATTAGAACATATGTGATTTGCACTTGTATGAAACTCAAACACGTATTCCGAATATACAAACTAGAAACATGTGGATAAATATTATAAATATGAATACCTATAACTGTTACTTTATTACAAAAAATAAAGATGTGGTTTTTGGTTCTACTACACCAATGGTCAAGAGATGGCGCTGTAGTCTCCTGAATCGCGCTTTGGTTCCGTTGTTCCAGATTAATAAATACTTTTGATATTATAAATATGAATACCTATAACTGTTACTTTATTACAAAAAATAAAGATGTGGTTTTTGGTTCTACTACACCAATGGTCAAGAGATGACGCTGTAGTCTCCTGAATCGCGCTTTGGTTCCGTTGTTCCAGATTAATAAATACTTTTGATAGGCCTTCACAATGCAGTCGTTTAGCACCCACTAAATAGAGATTCTATTTCTATTTTGTTGGTAGATTTTCTTAATGGCGGTAAACACAAAAGTAACGCATGCTGTTAAAATTTTGTGTTACAGTGATGCGCGCGCATCTTAAAATTTCACTCTCATCATTTTTTCATAACGCGCCTAAAGAAGTATAACTTCAAAAACAGTTAGGTACCAATCAATTATTTTTACCTTTAAAATATTGTTATCGTGCATACAACCTTGTTTTCCCAAAATCATTACTTTTACAAATCAAAACAACAAAATATACGGGCCGCCAATGAAAATATTTGCCCACAATGATAATAATTTTTTCCCAAAAATAACACTTAAAAAATATTTATTGGATTAAAAAAATTATCGGTGCGTAATGCATTAATTATAGATAAATAAATTATTTTCATAACATTTTCCCCAAGTACATATTAAATTTTCCCATAGATACCACAACAATGAACCGAACATGTATGATTTTGTTCGGACGGTCAAAAATCACATCGTCGATCAAAAATATTGGGCGATGCATTGGCCTGACGGGATTCGTTTCGTATACCTAAACTTGTATCTTCTTAATCAGCCTATCAACTTCTCTACGGATGGCATAAGGAGATTGATGTGCATGCATGAACTACGCATGCCCAAAGCGGATCAGTGGGTGCTAACGAGTAGTGTCTATCGGGACCAAAATGTTTAATGTGCCTTCCAAAGCATGGTGGATCTCGAGATAATTATTTGGTCATCCATCCTATTTTTTATCTCATTTATAGATTTTTTTTAATCTTATTTTCTATCGGTGAGTAAGTTTCCAGAAAGGCTCCATGAGCCTAAAACACAATACCACCAAAAGATTGTGTTATTTTACTATGATCTTCTTTATGGTGGAATTTTCAGACGGGCACTCCAATTAAAGCAGCAAAACCCGTTTTCCACGCTTCGCTGTGTATGAACCCTGTAATTTTTTTATTTAAATAAAAATTGCAAAAAATCTACAAAATTTAAGGCACATTTACAATTTGTAAAGATAACGACACAGCTACTCCGACCATATACATCGACATTTCTATTTTCGACATTACCGATGCGCGATAGAGATTTGGGACTTTACGTCCCAACCGAGTATATTCAACCGTCCGTGTGCGAGGTTCATCCGATCGGAGAACCGAATTGGAGAATCGGACCAAGAACCTGATATGTGCGCCAAGCCCAAGGGAATCTGACTCTGAATCTGAGTGCACTCTGGCCGCACCCTAAGGGTTATAATAACGCTAAGTTTTCGCGGAGGTGCGATTTTTTTGACGTCAAGTATATTTATGCCGGACCGAAAAAGACTACAACCCAGAGCCGTAACATAATAATTAAAAAAAAACACGCCGGTCCGTCCAAAGAGTAGTATAGTATTTATGGTCGGTCGCTCTCCGTCGCCGCCATTTGCAAATTCTATGAATGATTTGTGTAGTTTGTTCAAGTTGTGTTCTTCACGGTGTTAATTCCATGAAAGTGTGAATACCTAGTACAAATGCTTCGGTTAGCAAAACATTATATTACTAAGTAACAAATCCCAGGTAAGGAAACGCTCAACCATTTTGTATATGTTTGAAATAAATAAAATAACCACTGGGCCTCAAGCCGCATGCATTGCATAAAATGGCGGCACTCGAACCAATACTCTCACTTTTATTCAATTGATTTGGTTTCATGTTTACTAACCTAGAATTAATATCTCTGTTATTTTTTAGAAATAATCATGGAGCCAACTTTGGACGCGTCCTTAGTTGCGCAGTCCATTAATTACCACGGTCAACAACTACAAAAAACTTGGGAAGCTGAACGAGGTGAAGATGATCTCTCTAAAATTGGCGTGGGCGCTTTGGATTTTGCGGTGTACCAATCCAGGCACAAGCACCTAACATTTCAAGACCGTTCCAAAAGGTTGAAACTTCACCAATTTATAGCAAAGGAAGCCATCTCATTGTTCGATGTTTCTTTATCTGAGGAAACACCTTCATCATCTAGTTTGGGAACTGACTCAACTACACCAGAGGACAGTAAGTAATTTAAACAAGCCGTTCACATAGGTACATCACTATATATACCAGTTACCAACAGTCAACTTATTTTCATATCAATACCTAAACTTAATAAAATGTTTTTGTTGTTAAGAAGTCTACAATTTAATAAAATGTTTTTGTTTCAGATTTATATGCTCTAATGCCACCATTTGAAACATTCTTGAATGTTGATAAAGTTGCTCGGTTAAGACATTTTTTTGATGTAAGTATACAATTTCTTGGTTCTTGATTGACAGGCCCTCTACTTTTTCATGTATCCTTTTTCTGTCTATTTGCTGGTAGTTTATTTTTAATTTCATATTATTATTTTCAGAATGTGAAGACTGGAGAACTGATCATTGGAGCTGTCATCAACAGGACTGCTTCTGGTATGATGTTGAAGGTCTTGTGTACAGCAGGACCCACATCTAGATATGTTGCTGATATTAATGTGAAGGTAAGTGTTGTATGATAATTTTGATGATTGCACAATATTTTGTAATCTAAATCCTTTCAAAATTAGGTGTTCTTTATCTACACAGAATAACTGATTTACCATAAAAACTAGTATCTTTCCCTTCTAGATTTATTATCTAATTATAAGATAAACCCAAAATAACCCAAGATACAATGTTTTATCTGTACTAAAAAAATATAATTGGTTCAGCAGCTATGACATGAAACCTTGATAGATTTTTCATTAAAATTGTGATATTAAGTTACAGTAATAACAATAATTATTGTCATCCTGCAAAAACAAACACTGATGAAAAATAATGCTAGGTCACAAGTAACAACCAGTTATAAAAATAAAACTCCAGTAAACGGGGGGTTGAAAATATCTGATATTGGTAAAACTGTATTTCCAGGGCCCAAGAATTGACATTTCACTATTTTTTGATAAAAATATCAGAATAAAAAAACCACCAGGGTCTTTGAAAAACATAGGTGATGATAGGTTTTATCACTTACTACATATGTTAAAACACTTTTAGTTATAATAAACTTGTAAAACATTTTTGGTTATTTATTTACTTAGAATAAGAATCCTTCGTGTTTCTTTATCAACAGGCTTTTTTACCGGTTACGAATATCATACCAGCCATGGACAAGAAAAATGTGTCAAGAAACTACCTGATGAATGACACTGTATGCTGCGAAGTCATAGAAGTTATTCCTGATACTGACAAAATGGTGTGCGGCATGAAGGGGGTCACCAGAGGTCCAGATGACCCACCTCCAAAGCCTCCTCTAGGACTACTCAGCACTGATGACTTTCCATTGGTTTACAAGTATGTACTTACACAATTTCCAAGATAAAATAGTTTCAGTGTCCTTTTTTATTACACAATTACAGGATTTTTCTTTGTGCAAAGTTTGAACACTGTGTTTTGTTATATTTATTTATATTAAATATCAATAACATGTGAAGGTCATGCGGCTATAAAATCAGTGGTATATCATTACCATGAAGAAGAGTAATTGCATTAATTGACACTTGTGATGCTAGAAACCTACTATGGTAGATTGATTGATAATCATATTCAGAAGACATTTAAAATCTTTGTATATCTCATGAAAAGATACAATGGATTGGAATATTTATGGACAAAAAATAACTGCAGTTATACATGGAAACTATGATGAAGGGAAATACCTCTGCTTTTGTATATTATGCTTGTGTGATGGATTGTGGTTGGTTTTAACACAGCAGTTTGTGAATGTTCCTTACACTTGGTAGGTATGTGGTTGCAGCCAAGAATGGCTGTACTGGGTAAAATGTTTTCACTAGTTTCTGATCACTTTTCAGTACAAAATCACACAAATCACCATATATATGTGAAAATGTTAGCAAATATCAATAAAATCAACAGCAGCAAACAGATGATAGATGAGGATATTTATGTAATTTTTCACATTATGAAGAAGTTGATATTCTTGAAGTGATGAAATAATTTTCACATTATTTAGTTTTTTTATTGAAATGAGAAGGTCAGTACAAATCATAGGGTCACATTCAGATCTCTATAACAGAAAAGTTGTTTCTTTATTAAAGCTAATATTTAATATTCCAGCAAAATCTCAGAGCATTTGATTGGACTTTTATATGAACATTTCTTGGATGTTGGATTTATTTGTTATAAAAGAAGTAGTTCCTGGCAGTTATCAATTTAGCTGATTCGTGGCCCCCTGAAGTGGTACAACAAATATTTACAAGATTTTGGCAGTTTATATTGTTTTACACCAACCTGGCTTCAACCCTACAAGGACCATGCACCTTCCACCATTATTTTAGGGTGTTCTTTTCTAGGTATATCAACAACTCCCAAGACCATTTTGTCACATAGATTTATAAGGTGACTGTAGCTGAGACGTTTTGGTAACAGTATTGTCACATTGTCAAGGCAGCATCGCATAATCTATGATGTTATGTTTGTGTGCAATGAATAAAAATCAAATAAAATTTTTTGAACAGCTTCATGGGAACAGGTGAGGATCAAACAATGTGTGACATTGAAAAGGATAGGATATAAATGCTTGAGACTATTCCATTACTTTATTGTGAAGATATTCTCAGAGTAATTTTGTATTAAATTCAGTCAACATTATTAATTTTATAAAATTATAACTTTTTAATGTAGATTTATTTTCTAACAGGAAAACAATGGATATGAAGGGAGAGAGTTATGAAGCCATTCTGGAGAAGAGTCCAGGCTTCAATAACCCCAACTGCGTCCAATATCTTTCAGAACTCCTTGGCATTGCTAATATGCATTGCACCAACTTTGCGTCCTTGAGGTAATCTACCGCTGCACACTTTTCTCATAACTTGCAATAACTTGATATAAATATTTAATTTTTCCTTTTTTTTTTACATCAGAGGAGGATTCCCGCCATCTGAATGTGTGGATGAACTTCGTCAAGCTCAAGCCAGCAAGTGGGCGTTCCGTTCAGTTGCAGAAGGCATAGAACATTTCAAGGCTGGAAGACATTCTGAAGCTTTTCAATGTCTGAACAAAGCATTGAGCATTGATCCAAGAAATGTGGAAGGATTAGTAGCAAGAGGAGCTCTTTACGCAAACAGTGGAACATTCAAGAAAGCCATAGAAGACTTTGAGACTTCATTAAAACTGAATCCAAATCACGCTAATGCAAGAAAATACCTTGGAGAAACTTTAGTTGCATTAGGTCGCAGTTATGAAGATGAAAATAAAATAACAGAAGCACAAAAGGCCTATGAAGACTGTTTGGCTATTATACCATTCCATGAAGAAGCACAGAATTCATTAGATTTCCTTAAAAGTAAAACTTCCACAGCAAAACCATTGATAGAACCTGCCGAGTTGCTGCTACCGGGCTTAACAGGTGCAAAGTCCTTTGAAATGAAAGAGACACTGAAGCAATTGCTAAATCTGACAGAAAAGAAGGACAAGAAAAAGAAGAAGAAACGTGGAAAGGGGAAAAAGAAGAGATCAAGCAGCTCATCATCATCTTCAAGTGACTCTTCTAGTTCTAGTTCATCTTCAGAGTCCTCTTCATCATCTTCAGATACCAGTGGTAATGTCTCTTATTAGCCGTTGACGTATTAAAACAAGAAGACTCACAATCGCGCTCGAAAAGTGTCAGAAGCAAAATTACGCACATTTGTCTATTGTGCGTAATTTTTAAACAGTCATGTTTGAAAGTTCTCGCTCGTACACAATTGACATTAAACCTTACAGCCACGACATAACATTTTAATTTAAACAAATGTGTGTTAATATTATCCATATAAATTGACGTAGGGCGTCTTTCAAACTTTTTTTTTTGCACTTGTTAGGTGATTGGGATTGTACTTGTTTTTATACATCAGTGTTATTTGTTCATATTTTGCAAGATTTAATAATTTGCTAGCATGATGTTATTTTTGTTATACCTGCTACTGCCTAAGTTTTCTTAACTATCTCTATGGATATGTAAAATGTCGTAAACAGACTCGGAGGGTCCCAACCGCAAGAAGAAACGTCGCTCACAGTCAAACAACAAACGGCAGCGGTCTCTCTCGCCGCTCAGCAAACGTATGGCTATGCTCGGCGAGGCGGACTCTGCGTCGCGCACGCACAACTCGCAGTTTAACCACCCGTACGGCTATCAACCGCCGCCGCCGCCCGTCGAGGAAAACAATGTACAGCCCATACGCTCTCAGGCAGATATCGACTATGAGTTGAAGGTAAGATTGAATCTACATAGAATAGTTTTTTACGATTAAGATATGTGCGTCGCGCACGCACAACTCCAGTTCAACCATCCGTACGGCTGCCAACCGCCACCGCCGCCAGTCGAGGGAAACAATGTACAGCCTGTTCGCTTTCAGGTAGATATGGACCAGTAGTTGAAGGTAAGATTGAATCTACATAGACTAGTTTGTTACGATTAAGATAGATGCATCGCACACGCACAACTCGAGTTCAACCATCCGTATGGCTACCAACCACCTCCGCCGCCCGTCGAGGAAAACTATGTACAGCCTATACGCTCTCAGGCAGATATCGACTATGAGTTGAAGGTAAGATTGAATCTACATAGACTTGTTTCTTACGATTAAGATAGATGATAATGTTCTGCGTCGCGCATGCACAACTCGCAGTTTAATCACCCGTAGAGCTACCAACCGCCGCCGCCGCCGCCGCCCGTCGAGGAAAACAATGTACAGCCTATAAGCTCTCAGGCATATATCGGCTATGAGTTGAAGGTAAGCTAGAATTCTACATAGACTTGTTTTTTTAGTAATAAAAAACAACTCTTTATGTAGTAGAGTCAATCTAACAAATAAGGTTAGTGATTATATTGACAAAAATCAATATGTCTGTGGTTTACAACAAAAAATAATAGTGTCTGTATTAACCTTTACAAGTAACTAAAATTTTGGATATATATTTGTGTAAGCAACATTTATTGTATTTAAATTCTCGAAATGATATTGGGGATTTATCACCTTATTTCAGTAAGCAGATATCTTTGCGGTTTTTTACTTTCTATTATTATTCAATTCTTTTTTGGTATCTCAGGTGCGCAAATTCTTAGAAATGACGAAAGAAGATTCCGACTATGAAGATAAAGTTCGTAATTTCTTGGAAGAAACTACTCAATACAAGAGGAACCGTAAAATGCAAGAGTTGGGCCAACAACCGCAGCCGGGCGCCGACCATGATAAGAAAAAAAAGAAGAAGAAAGATAAGTCGGTACCATTTTCTATTTATTATTGAATCATTCACACATTTTATTCCATCTAATATTTCAGTAGCCGCTAAATTGAATGCTATTGCATCATTCAACTGTTTATGTAAAAGAATTAGTCCTCAAAATTTACTGATGACATGAAGAATATTGAACCCCAACTTGGATATAAAGATAAATAAGCGTGTAAGGTCCATAAACAAGTTGGTAAAACATGCATGAACATATGTAATTTTGTCTATCGTTTTGTCTAACATCAACCTATTTTTATTTATTTATTTTATTCACAATTTAACTTAATATTATTACATATTTGAATATTTAAACTTGAATTACGACATCTTCATCATTAAAATATTTATTGAGAGCAATGAAAATACTTATTCTACTAAAACATCCTTTAAAAAGTTGTTTGATTATGTCATTCTCTTTACTCGTGCATAATATAATGCCATCAGTGACACAATGAAGTAGTACATATATTGCAGATTGTATTTGCCATGCACTGTTTCAAAGAAAGCAACTGTTTAATCTCATAAATTGATAAATATGACACTTGGAAAATAAACTTTTTTTGTATTAACATTTTTTTCAGATTGTGATTTTTTGTCATTAATGATCTTGCAAATAAAGTATACGTTTCTCTTAGGAAAAAGAAGAAAGAATCAAAGCGAAAACGCAAAGAACAAGAGCGTGAAGAGAAAAGAAAAGCTAAACTGGCGCGCTCCGCCGCGAACAACACTGAATACAGCCTTCGAGACTTGGAGAACCTTAGTGATAAAAAACTACGAGACGCTATCAGGTGATCTAAAATTTCATCAGATCTTTTCCTCTATCAAGGAGTTATATTAGTTGAATTTAAACTCACCTAAGATATTGTCAATTTCACAGGAAAGGGAAATCAAAGCGGGATCTTAGTTCTGACGGGGATTATGATAGAAAACATGGTGATAAGAGGTACATATTTTGCCCAACTTTTGCTGTAAATCAAATTTCTCTTTAAAAATATTTTGTGTCATTGAATTTCTTTGACTATCATTTGAGGTTATTTTATATACTAATATGACTTGTTGTTGCTTTAGGATATTAGATGAAATGCATGGTTTAGAAGAGCTGGAGTCTAAACTAAGTGCGTACCATGTTATGGTGGAAAAGGAAGTTTTGGGCAAACGCGACGGACGTGGGTCTATCAGCCCAATAGACCAGGCACCCCCTCCACCCTTAGAGACTACAAAGTGGAAGATGTCCATGAGTGCTGTTAAAGATTCGTAAGTATAGAATATAACAGTGTTGAATTATCCCTATCATAATCTGCACATCTACACGCACAATGGTCCAATGATTAGGACTAAGTGCCCTGCCCTGAAAAACTAACTAACTATCTGCACATCTAATTTCACTTAACATCTGAGAGAAATTTAAACAGCTGTGTAAATAGATTTAAAGTAACGTTAATATAATTTTAACCTGCAATCAAATTAACTGGACTGGAACTTATTCAATATAAAAACATTTGTTTTTGGCAGTAGGGTAAAGAAGAAAGAGACTCCAGTACCAAAGGGCTATAGAGAACGTTATGCATTTGAAGACAGTTCTGATGACTCTCAAGACACCAAGGTAAAAAGCTTTATTAATTTTATTTTTGGGAAGTTTTGCATAATGTAAAATCAGTTTTGGGCTAAATATTGTAGTCAGTAAAAAATATATTTATATTCGATTTATTTACTGAATATTAGCCAGAATATCAGCGCCGCATCGGCCATAAGCCGGGTACTCATTAGCGAGCTGTAACCGTAACCGTTGCATGCACTTTAACCACAAAGCATAGTGTGTATGTGGTTCGCTAGCCTGCTGCCAACGGTACGCGTACGGTTTGCAGCGAGCCGTGGTTTACAACTGAGCTACAAGCGTACACACTAGAATCTCGTACTGTATCACGCATGTTACGGTTAGAGCTCGCTAATGAGTACCCGGTTTTAGTGTCGTTGTGGCATTGTGCTAAGGCAGGGACCAAGTAGACCTTATTCTGTCTTTTTATTTCAATTTTTTTTTTCAATGTAATTGGTCAATAAATTGTTTCTTTCTTACTTACTGTATTAAAAATTCTTACGTTTATAAAAAAAAAACATTGATTTGTTTGACAAAACCGAGCCAATGTTTTGTTGTAAATGCGTACGTATGTTTGTATAGCCAACACCGGGCGATAAGAACGTGTCTGTACGTCGCGCCATGGCGATGAAGGAACTGCCGCCGCTGCCGAGTGCACCGCCACCCGGCAAGTCGCGCGAGCCCGACCCGCCAGGCACCGAGCCCCCGCACCCGCCGGTCAGTTACACATTCACACGCGGCCGCTTTAGCATAAAAATTGAATCCAAAGATCTGGTAATCCAGATTGGTCTAGCAGCAAACATTGGAATGCACTGCCTCATATTCAAGATGCCAAACAAACTAAACGCTCCGTACGTCATCATTTATTAGATTCCCCCCCGCATCCTCCTGGTATGATGTAGATTTGTATGTATATGTAAATATTTATTATTATTTATGTATTTATATAGACATGTATTGTATGTAACATATATATATATATATTATCTTGTTTTTATAGATATACTTTAATTATCATAATTAATTTGATGAATTCTTTTTGCACTACTTTCTTAAGATCATTGCTATAATTCTCTGGTTGACTGGTAGAGAATGCCTAATGGCTAATGCCATTAGTGGTCCCTGTTCGGGCGCCACATGTAATGTTAAATTCCCCTCCACAGCCCTCTTCTCGCTCACTCAGAGCACCGGGGGAACAATAAAAGAAAACCAAAAAATTAAGATAATGTTATAAGTATATTTTATCCACTTTAGATACCAAAGCATAGGAATTCAGTAGTTTTAAGTTATTGCTTATATAAATCAACAAGTCTAACTATGTTTATTATTTATATAATAACTATGTTTCACTAATTATAAATATCTAAGCTGAATACAGTAGTTCAAAGTTAATGTGTATATAAACCAACAAGTTGTCATGAAAGGTTATAATTATATGAATATCAGACATTCATAACACTTTACCATGTACTTACAATATAATACTTACTAATATATTTTATCCACAAATACCACATAGACTAGACTGAATAAGCTATTTAGTGGATTTCAGAGGTTCTACGGCTCCTTTGATCGATATTGGTGACAAACTTAGTTAATTCTAGTTCTCAGTGAGATAACCAGTTATATAGATATATGTAAATATATGGAAATGGGTAAGTCGGGGTCCAACCTCGCCTGGTGGTTCCTTTCCACGTTCACCCGGGGTTAGTAGAGAAATACCTTATTATGATAGGTTTAGCTGTGTATAATCTGTCTGCTGTTACGGCCGGGTTACATAAAACCGGAGAGCGGCTGGCAAATAAACTCCCGCGTCCCTTCTGGTCCGTGTACAGAAAAAAGTCTCCTTGTTAGTCCTCCAATATTTCTTGAGGGGAACGTACAAGCCTGAAGTTCACATTGAAAAAAATGATCAGATATGGGGAAAATACATAGATTACCACATCTGTAGTGGGTGAGGGAGTGAGGGATATTCACGGTCAATGTTTACACTTTAAAATTTGAATCACTACAGGACTGGGGCCCGTCCCACCCGGTTTGAAGAAAATCAATTCCACGTTCACTAACTTGACAAGAATGATTAGGTATATTTGCTGACAAGAATCACTATATTGTGCATAATGCAGTTCAATTAGTGCTAGGAGAATAAATATGAGGTCAGATGATAGCTTACCGTTCGAAATATGAAACTATCCGTAAATATTTTGTTTCCTATCACAAGTTACCGCCTTATTATTGCAATCGCCTTGCGAAGGTTCGTGTTCGTCCACCTACGATACAGAATATCAACAGAAAGGTTATTTTTCACAGCCCAAACTTGCAAATTATGTAGGAAAAAGAGTTACTCCAATATACCTACGAAACTCAGTTCGGTTAGCGACTCCGCGCTTTTTCCGCCAATATCCTTCGGGATATAAACTTTTCGGATCTATCTCACGACTCCGACGACAATAATATGCCTTTTATTATACTTTGGGCAGAAGAAAAGATGAAAAGTTAACTGTACCACAAACAGATTGTGAAATTTTAAAAGTTGTTTTGACAATTGCTCATAGATGATAGACGGGTCGTCCACTCCCAAACATGTGTCTATGATTTGTTTCCCACTTCAACTGAAGGCAAAGGCCACAGTCAAACAGACAGCCGCCGCATTCGAGACGAACCGAAGAATAAACTCAAAACTATATACCTACGCTCGCCGTAAGCTGAGGAAAAGGGAATACCTACCCAAATCAGCGAGGAAATTCAATTTCGAGTAAAATTCAAAATCGATTAAAAACAGCACCCGATAAGGAGGACTCAAATCGATCTGGGAAAGACTATTCAAAATTCAACAACTGTCAAACTCCATCCATTCATCCACGCGCCCCCACAGAGATTCCCCGCCTGATTACTTTTTTTTTTTTTTTATAAGTCTCAAGGCGAATATTTTAGTCGAATAGGAAAATCGACTCTTCCCTCAAGGCTACCAACCCAATCAATGAAGTTTGACAGCTACGCTGACGTAAGCGGTTCGCTATCATAGACAAAACAGCTGTCCTACGTGTGTCAGTGTCACGCTCTGTTTAACCTGTCAAAACGGGAAGTGAAATTTGAGATATGCTGATTACGTCATCTATAAACGAAATGGCGGCTTCAATCAAAATGGCTTCCGCGCGACAAAAAAAAATATATTACGCTGTAGCCAAATCATTAATTATCATTGCGTGAACGAGAATTTACTAATTGATAAATTTTCTTTCAGTCGGGTAAAAAAATTATGGCAATTATCAATACGTTATATTTTTTTGAGATGCCCAAAGTTTACACTACTTTACGCACTTTACGATGTAAAATAAACGAAAAAACGGGCGGATGCCGAGAATCATATATCTAAACTGCCCACTTATGTAAACAAACTAATGAAAGACCCCATTGTTGATAACAAAAACAGCACTTGAAACCAGAGTCCGACCCGACCCAACGAACAAAAAACAAAGTAGGGATGTATCTTGCCGTGCCTTCACTTTTATAGTTTTATCGATATTTGTTCTGTTATTTATAAATAAAAACACATTTGGTACTGTTTTTAATTGATTTTTATTTACAGTGTAATTATTCCTATTATCAACAAGGATATGGATAAATATAGCTAAAAATAAAACTACCATATACAGTGGAAAAAAATTGACTTCACGTACTTTAGGTTTTTTTTATTGGTAATAAACCCGAAACCGTAGATATCAATAGAAATAATAAAGTTTGTTCTCTCATTCTTGAGTTCTTTTTATTGATACAATACTCAAACGAACTTTGAATATATTGCTAAATTGAAAGTATCTTCTGCTGCATCACTCATTTGCTGCTCCTCACCCTCTTTATCTTTATAGAGCAGGAATAAAAAATCGGCGGTTGGGTCCTGGTCTTAGCGCCACGAAGACATACTATAAAATCCAAAAAAAAGAAAACCACTATATTTTCTTAGCCATTATCACCATATTTACTGCATGAATTTATTTTATTTTGTTATATGTAAAACTACCATTCTAAAACAGTAACAATAAATTAGCTAAACATATACTCGCCCTACAATGCCACCACCACAATTTTAGTCGATCTATCGACAATTCATTATTTTTATCTCGTGACTATCGATACGTACCTATCAATACGCCTACGAAAAGAGGTTCAAATCGACTGCAAGTAGGTTACGCCCGTGACGCCGTACATATAAGAGTCAAAATGGCTTGCTAGGAATTGACAGACGATACCCCATTTTTGATCTTTATACACAGAAATTCCCTTATCTTTATGAGGAGTTTCTAACAATAATTTGTTATCAGCGATGTAAAAACTAACTGTAAACGAGTTTCAATTGCTTATTGTAAACACTTATTTATATTACCGAAACTCAATCATCACAAATAACTTTGAAACAACCTAAGAAATTTTGTCAGTATTGAACATGAAAATCATTTTTATTACGAAGTATTTTATACAACCAATTATCTATAAAGGTATATTGTAAGCAGAACAACACACTTTATAACACTTTCCCTATAAAATTAAGCATTTACCATGAAAAAAAAGATAAATTACATACACGTAACCTCAATTCGACCAAAAAAATTCCACTTTTTCAACGACGCAAAAAAAAAAAACTACACAGAGTAGGTGAAAACTCTACGGCTCTAAAGATAGGTCATTTCGCCAAGTTAATCTATGGTAAAACTTCTTCATACAAAAGTAGCCTCTAACCTTCACAAAAAATGGCTTATAGTCCCGTGGGGAGCGCGGCCCATATGGGCCGTGCGGTGTTTGACCGTGCAATGTTTTTTCCCGCGCGGCCCTTATGGGCCGTGTGGTGTTAAGTGAGTTAAAAACAAACACTACAGTATCCCCCCACTCACGGCAGAATTCACGTAGGGAATTCGTCGAACGCCCTCGTTCGTATATCCCCATGTCTTATGTACTTTAGTTAAGATATGATTAAGTTATGTTGTATAAAATAATAGAATATTATAAACCGCTAAGTTAAAAAAAAAATAAACATACAGAACGATAAATCATTGATAAATCTCTAAGTTGTAACAAAAATAGATAATAATAAATGACAATAGTAACACAAAGTGTATACCACTCAAGGCCGTACCGCAAGCATCTTTGCTCCGAAAATAGATATAATAAAAAAAATTATAATGTTACCAGTTATACCGAGAAAAACATAATGGTAGAAAATTAACCAAAGAGATGTTATTGGTCAAAGGCGATTTGCTCACAAAATTACATGTTGTGCGTTCGTCCATCGTGTGTCTCATTTACTGTCTCCCGAGAGAAATAAAAAAAATATCATAAATATTCTATGCTCATCATAGGATATTATGATAAAAGTTGTTGTTAATACGTTTTCATTTGTATTAGCAACTTCAATAAAATGCCTTGGTAGGTAAAAAACTAACAAGCACATTAACAAAACCTTCTCCTGGAAAAGTTAAGAGACAATTAAGTGTTTAAGCATTAATTAGGTGGCAAACAAAGAGATCACACTATCGGGGACGAACACACACATGGGTATCTAGGATGCAGTGTGATACCAAGTAAATATGACTTTTTTGATTTGTAACATCGGATGATCGATATTGGCTCAAAATTTACAATCAAAAAAGTCATATTTACTTTTTTTATACCCTTATTTAAAGAAAAAAAAAAACCCTCTTGTGTACTGATTTTTGGTAGGTTAGTTCACCAACCTCACTTTTTTGAACCTAACAAGAAGAAACCTAACATTGAGAAACCTAATCCTTTAGAACCTAACAGTTTTCAACCCTCAGGTGTGAAACCACACTTGTTACATCACTACTATTTTAACTGATATATCTTAACAGGTAGGTGATTTTATTATCATATTAATTACACTTTGTTATTGAACATTTCTTTATTTTGCCACACTAGGAGTAATTTTAACTTACAAAATGGAACAGAGGCCAATCACTTTTAACTTGTTACACAAAGATGAGTTGGAATATGAAGTCAGAATTAGGGGTGCGAAGCCTGTGGACGGGGTGCCTGCTTTAAAGGCACAAGTACGTGCTTTAAATAAAGATTTACCTTCTGATGAAATATTAACTTGTGAAGTAGAGATAGAATCAGAGTTGGATATTATTAGGGAGAAATTAGACAGTTTAGATGATCTTACTTCTCAAACTTCTTCTAGAGCTAGTTCCCTTAAAGCGCGAGAAATGATATTACGCGGACTTAATAGTCCGCCACTTGTATACTCATTTATGCAATAAAGTTTCAAGTAAATAATCCTACTCATGAGTATCAGTCACTGCTGCTACATTCAACGATATTAAATACTCTAGACACAACAACACAAACAAAATCCTGCCCAAAACCTGACCAAAAAGTACATTGGACGATCCAAAAAGCTCCGTAAGATGATCGCGTAGTCAAATGCAATATAGGATTATTTATATATGTAAATAATAAAAGAAACCATTAATGCATAAGGTCTTAATTTAATCGTATGTGTCAAAGAGTTATGACAGTTTGAAATGCAAGCTCGTGAAATTTCACGACTTTTTGCCATAGGCGGAAGGTTATAGACTATTTCTTAGACTCTACGCGCAATTCTGAATGCGCTGTTAGCAATGTAGCATTGACGGACCGCGAGGAAAAGAGACGGTTCTATAACCGACCATGCATTTGAATATCACAAATATTTTCTAGTAAATCATTTTATAGTAAGTATAAGAACTTTTGCTTCAAATGCGTTAAATTAACAAATATTGATTAGAGATACCTGTCGAAAAAACTACACTCTACGTACTATAACTATTTCTTTCACATTTTTTCACGGAGCTCTGCAGTCTTGATTTTTCAACGGTCCGCAAGTGACTGTGAACTAAGAATTCTTGATAGGGACACATTTTGAGCGCACGTGGTGTATCTAGGGTATTTAATATCGTTGGCTACATTTTACAATCTTGTTGCTCATGCTTTGTTAAAGAATATCTAGAAAGTTAAATTTCATAATACAACATCAACTTCACAGGTTCGCAAAGGCAACATAGTGCTGGACAAGTTCGGTTCGTTCCGCTTGGCTCAGGAAGGCGAGACGCCGGTGTCTGTAGGCGAGGGCCGCCCCGAACAGTTCGTGACGCGCATCAAGCCGCCCTCGCCCACGGCGCGCCGCCCGCGCTCGCCGCCCTCACCGCGCCGCCGCTCCTCCACCTCCGATGACGACCGCCGCTCGGGCAAGCGCTCGCGCAGCAGGTATGTAACAATCATATAATCGATTGTGGAAGGGGGGGGGGGGGGACATTTTTTTACAAATGGTAACTTCTGGCTAAAGTGAAATTGTAATGTCAATATAAATAATAACGATACAATGTATTGTATCGTTTAACGTTTTAATGACAGTCGTGTGACGCGCACACTCCTGAACGCCATAATGTCCAGAGAAACGTATTTATGGCAACTTGAAAAAATAATTTTTAATTTAGTTGTTTACTGAATCACTTTTTATGGACACCATAAACATCAAAAAAAGTGAGATCGTTTTCTAAAACTTGTGTACCCTATTAATCAGGTCTCGGCCCCGCAAGTACCGCTCGCGGTCGGGGTCGCGGTCTCGCTCGGCGTCGTCGGGCAGCGGGTCGGGCGGGTCTCGCCGCCGCCGCTCGGGGTCGCCGCGCTCGCGCTCGCGGTCCGACGCCAGCCGATCGTACTACTCGCGCAGCCGCTCGCGCTCGCGCTCCGTCTCCAGGGAGAGGTGAGTCAAAATATCTGTATTCAAATAGATTGCAAAATACAACTCTTTTGAATCGTCCATATTTTTGATGTGTAATATCTTTCCTCCAATAACTGGTAGTCACAAAAGCGCGCGCAATTTGATTTGATTTTACAACATAATGTTGAAATGGCTTATTCGTTTTGTAGTAGGTTTTATTTCTTTTTTTTACTAATATAAGATGAGGTTTCAAATGTTACACATCATACTATACATGCGACTACTGTAAGGCTCGCTCTTTTTTTTTTAACTGTGGAGAAAAACTGGCGAAAAAACTTGACAGCGTTAAATAATTATGTTACAATATTTACAAAAAATGATATTGTTACGGTGTCAATACAAAATCATTCCATCTTCATCATAATTAAAGAAAAATCCTGCGGGAGGGTTTGGAACAGTTTAAACCCAAGCATTTTTGTCTGAAATATAATCAGACAATAATAGGCTTTATTTATAGGAACTCTTTTAATGGTAGTTTTCAATTTACCGATTGAGAGTTGATACACAACTTCAAACAAGTGAGTTGCTGTTACTCGCACGCTACACACGCTCATTACATCTCTGCTGCACTACTCTCCCATTTTGAAACCTCCACTGCACTTAATCTCCCGTAAAACATTTATTTATTTATTACTAGCTGACCCAGCGCACTTCGTACTGCTTACAATAATTTGGAAGAAATAATAAATAAGATCTATATTGCTATCAAATGTTTGACACGTTTTGATGTAACTAAAAATTTACGGTTTTCGCAATTTTTCCTTTATCTGTACTATAAAACGTTACTTCGTACCAAATTTCAAGATTCTAAGTTTACGGGAAGTACCCTGTAGGTTTTGATTCCCTTGAGAGCTTCGAAAATTTGCGGCATAAACGGCTGTATGTTTTGATTGATTTGGCTTAGAAGTTTAATTTTTTCACAGCTCCAAGGGACGGTAGACATGTATTAGATATGAATTTCAGTTTGATACCCCACGCGTTCCTGAGAAAAACGATCTTGACAGACGGATGGACAGAAAACAAAGTGATCCTATAAGGGTTCCGTTTTTTCCTTTCGAGGTATGGAACCCTAAAAAGATCTCACGCCTCAAGTGAGGCTATATTTACCGTGACGGATTTTACGCGCTTACCCGTTATCAATAGAACTGTTGATCGAAGATAATTATGTGCCACCAATATTTAACCCATCACCATTCCTCTAAAGTAAAGACAAGCTACAATGTTCATAAATTTTATAATAAAGGACATCGACGAAATCGGCCCTAGCATGCCCAAAAGAATGTGTTTTACTACTATTTTTATGTATTTATTAGCAATTAATCATAGTAAACGGACAATCTGTTTAAAAAAATAAAAGTTCTGTTACTAGATACTGCAGTCTGTTCATTCTAACTTGTCCTATTTGGTAAACAATCTTGGCACTCCTTTTTATTGAAAATACAGCATTAAAAATCAACTGATAACTGGATTCAATAGATTTCATTCTTTAATAACGGTTTATTTTAATAGTTTATTGGCTTCGTTATTATTTTATTTTTAAATGGGTGATTTTGTTAAAAAGTTGTGCAAGATTGTTTACCTTAATAAATGAAAAATATAGGCGAACAAGGTTTTTATCAACATAAGAATAGAACTAGGAACCTTTGTTAATAATACTTATCACTAGTATTTATATTATATTTATAAAAGGATTATTTCTGAAATTATGTAAAGATAGTTTTTACTGTCATCCCTTAAAATATCTGTTTATTTTTATGAAAATCATAACGATAACCAGGTACATACCTTATTACCGATAGTAAAATATAGAAACAGGTAAATGGAGACTTTGAACATTTCATTTGAAAAGAAATCTATTAATACAACAGGTAGGTATAGGTGTCATAGGTACCAACTGCCAGCACTCAAAAATCAATATGAATATAAGCATTTATTATTTTTATTATTACTTGCATTTTATGTTCATTTAATGCATATTAATTGTTTACATAGAGGTAAACACTACATCTATTCAAAATATATATAAAGTGTACATCTTTTACGATTAAGTATAATAATTTATAACCTCCTAATGTAATACATTCTGTAGTGGGCCACGGTTCCTCAAGCTGTCCATATCTCAAGAAAAGCCTAATTAGAGTTTATGAATGATTCCGAACACAACTAGCATTTTCTCAATGCTGTGCGTTCTAGGGCATTCAATGTATGGGGAACGAGCAATGTCCTTTAACTTTTGACTGTGTAAGGTCAAATTTATATTTTAATTATAATTAAAATTAATTTATATTTTAGTGGCCGTTTGAGATATAGGTTATAGATAGGCTGAGGTCCATAAATAAATATGATGTTAATATGGTTTGGAGATATGGTCTGTCTGTTCAGAAAATAGGTAAATTATAGTTATGGGGGTGGTGAAGTCTTATTTTATTGTAATATGTATAGATATTTATAATTTTTTATTTGCTAAATAATCATTATTTATGTATGCGTCTAATCAGTATTATTGTTTCTTATGCTGCCATTAAAGAAGCAGGAGTCGGCAAATGCAGAAGTAAGAGACAGTGATACTTTATATATAATCAGGACTTCTTTGTTTGTTTTTCTATAAACATAAATGTTAGCCAAGCAATCACATTATAATTTGTATTAATGTAATTGAATGATCCCACAAGATAAAGCTTTTTTCACTCCTGTTGATTCATCACTTCTACGTGTGCAACATCAATTCTGCTTCTACGTAATGATAATGCCTTATATACATGAATTAATGCCAGCCATTGAAAATACTATTATTCTTCTCATTTGCAAAAAATATCCCTTTAACCTTCAATTAGACATGTCGATTCCGGCATGATTTTCTTAACCTAAACTTAAATTTGACAACATTGTATCCTTGACATTCTCTACACAGAATGTAAAGGAGAGACGGATGTTAAATTTAATTTTAAGTTTAGAGAATCACCCCTGCGTCCACACCATTTTACATACATATCCTTGAGATTTAAGTTACCTAGTTTTATATAGAGCACCTATACAGTCATTGCCGCATACTATTATAAAACGAAAAAAGTCAGTTTATCTAAAAGTAATTCCACATCATATTCTACTTCCAAAGTGGAAGTGAACCACTGTTAAAGTTTCAAATCCGGCTCGAAGGACCATTTTGATTATGGCAAAATACAAGCAAAACACATTTAAGCCTTGAAAAATTTGGTATTAAAATCTACATACCTTAAATCTTTATACATATTTACAATATAAGATATATCATTGCGATTTCATATTCATGTAGTGACATCTAGTGTCACAAGTATGTACTTAAACTTTAATAACCACATTTTATTGAAATCGCGATCCGTCATCAGGTTCCGTCGCTTCAACCGCCGCGGCAACTGGCGCGGGCGGGGCGGCTACGAGCGCGGCACCTACTACCGGCCGCGATTCCACACGTACAACGGCGGCGGGCGCGGCCGCGGCCGTGGCGGTGGCGGCGACTTCCGGCGCGACGACGGGCGGCGCTTCCAGCACGAGTGGCGCGACAACCGCTCGAGGGGCGGCCGACCCTTCAGGCCGCGGCGGGGCGGCGGCGGTAGAGGGCGCCCCTTCAGGTAACACTATAATCATCATCAGCCTATTACTACCGGCCGCGGTTCTACCCGTACAAAAGCAGCGGCAGATACTTCCGGCGCGACGACGGGCGACGCTTCCAGCACGAGGGGCGGCTGACCGTTCAGGCCACGGCGGTAGAGGGCGCCCCTTCAGGTAACACTACAATCATCATCAGCCTATTAGGCTTAACGTGCTATCAGACGCACGGTGGAATTTAAGATTATAAATTTTTGGTCACCCATCCAATGATCGACCACTGCGAAAGTTGCTTAACTTCAACGATCGCAGCCGAACGCGTTAACCACTTTCGCCATCGAGCTCAACACTACAATCCCATTGTAGTAAAACACTTTTATTTAAAAAAACACTGCTCCTGGGGCGTCGAAGATAGGAGGCGACCCTTTAAGTAAACTAACTATACCTACTTACTACTTTAACTAAACTGCAGCTTTATAAAGCACAGGTTCGGCCTCATATGGAGTACTGCTCTCATCTTTGGGCGGGGGCACCCCAGTACCAGCTTCTCCCTTTGGATCGCATCCAGCGCCGAGCGGCTCGAATAGTCGACGACCAGGACCTTTCCGATCAGCTTGATCCTTTGACTTTGCGTAGGGATGTAGCTTCGCTCTGCATCTTCTATCGCATTTATCACGGGGAGTGTTCTGAGGAACTGTTCGGATTAATTCCAGCTGCTGCATTTCGCCATCGTACATCGCGACAAAAATTTCAGCCCCATCATCTTGATGCGTGGCTATCCACAACCGTGCGTTTTTGTCGAAATTTTTTACCACGTACGACAAAACTGTGGAATATGTTGTCGACAGCAGTGTTTCCGGACCGATACCAACCAAAAACCATCAAAAAAAGAGCGTACTCCTTCATTAAAGGCCGGCATCGCATTTGTGATACTCCTGGTGTTGCAAGTGTCCATGGGCGACGGTGATCACTTACCATCAGGTGAGCCGTCTGCTCGTATGCGATATAATAACATAAAAAAAAACTACTAAAAAATACATATGCAAAGAATTTAAAACCTCTTATTTAAGTAATAGGTAAAATTGAGATGCAATAAGTGCAAAGGCTCGTGCCCACTAGCTTAGTGATATTTAGAACATTTTGAAACATTTTTGACAGGGGTGGCTTCAGAGACTTCCGCGATAGGCGAGGCGGCGGGCGATATTCGCGATCACGAAGCCCCGACAGAACGCGCCGGTCTCGCTCCTACAGTCCCGAGCGACGCGATAAGGACAGAGACAGGTACACATTGAAGTTACATGCCTTCAACTACACTCATGGACATATTTAGAGGAACGCGAAAAGGGGGACAAATTTATATTTATTAAGGACGCATAATTGTTTATATGAAACAATTTGTCAAATAAATCAATAGTAACAAAATCAACAATAGTGTTTTAAAGTGATTTTTTAGGGATAAGCTGATAAATTTGGGAATTATATAAAACAAACTGAAATAATAACCTTGTATTGAATGCTATTATTGCACTGATTTTATGATTGCTTAATTTACAATAATAAATTAAGTACTATAATAAGTTTATCCTACCATATTTTTGCCATCCTCAAAATATGACCATGAGTGTATAGAACATACATTTTTTTCTTGATTTGTAACGGTTACTTTATTTGCAGCTACTCTCACTATTCTGAACGTGATAGTCACCGCAGTGAAGGAGAATATGAAGAAGAAAGATATGTGGACAGAAAGGAATATGACGGAAAGTGGGCCGATGGCAATGAACCGGAAAGACCCCAAACTGAGGAGAAACCAGCTGAACAACCCTCCAAAGAATAACAGTTTTTACAATGTCTTTAGGATTTTCACTTTTAGGTGTGCCAATACACTGCACATGATTTTAACAAAACACCTTATCTTTTAGTTGTAAATATAGGTTAGATTACGCAACTAATTACTATAAGACGCTGCTCTTATAATCATTTAATATCAATATTGATTGTTTAAAACATTCGTTTATTTCAATTTCACTGTGGTGAACTGTATTTGTTAACTTTGCTAATGTCATGAATTAAATGCAAATTCAATAGAATTTACTTTTTCCCTACAACTCTGCCCAATTGTGTACCTCAAGTATTATTATGCATTTATGTGTAGAAAAATACGGCGAATCCTTTAAAAATTGCATTAAATTGAGTTTATATCCTTTAAACATTTAAATTTATGGCAATACAATGTGAAACTAAAAGGCAAAAATAAAAGGTCTCCTTTCATTCCAACTTTTTTAAGTGATATGCCATACAGTCACTAATATTGTTCCTTTATAATATAATTTAAGGAACCAAATGTAATAATTAACTAGTTAATAAATGGATTAAAGACATCACAGTTTTTCAATTCGTATTTAAAGCTCCCTGGTGTTCATTAAAGAAAGGTGACTCGCAGGGGCATACTTACAGGCAGCAGGCTGGGGTCTAGGGGGTGCAAATCCTATTGGACTTGACAGTTGCACAACAAAACTTGCTGTATTAGGAGTTATTTTAAAGTATATACATAAATGTTTTGTAAAGCAACTTTATATATATAAATAATTGAATACAAATATTTGGAAACACACAGGTCCTATACCACTCATTAAAATAATAAAGTAGGTAACTAAATTGTTTACAATATATTTATTATGATTGACCTAAGTATAAAAAAGTTAATCTTATTTCTTCTTTTTCTTGTTTACATTCTTCTTTGGTTTGACAACATTCCAATACCAGAATAATTGCAAGACCAATGCTGCATTAGCTATTGTTGAAACACAGTATGTGAGGATAATAATTGAATCCCCTGTTTCCTGAATGGAAGTGAAAATTCTTGCTACACTCCCTCCAAACAATAAAAAGCAGGTAACAGCTGACAATTGACCTGTACTACCATTCTTGTAGTTAGTGATCACTTGAATTGACTGTAAAAAAAGGTACATTTCAAATGGTGGTTAAGTTATATTAAAAGAATCTAGTTCATATCCAAAACTAATGATTTTCTTTTATACAAAGTACAACTAAATTTCCCACCCCCCTGATATTAATGTAAGTAGAGCAGTCATTTTAAGATAACTGAAATGGCTGAGTATTCCTTGCCAGCATTCCCCTAATTCCTCACCCTATGGATCCCTGTAACCTTACCACAAAACGAGCTATTTTCCTATGCTCTTCTGTAAGATGGACTGACTGCCTCAGATGAGTGCTCAAATTAAATGGTAAATTCACTAGTCTACATATCATAAAATAGCTAAATTAAATGATTTTACCTTTGCCAAAACTATAATAGGAACATTAACAGCTTGCATATTCCATAATACACCAACAGGAGTATAGCCAGTAATGAGTGTGGATACCAATCCTACATATGTTGCTAAATAAAGTCCAGCTTTCCCAGGAGATCCACCATAATGCAAAACAAGAGCTGCAATTATCACTGTTTGAACAGCTAAAAATGTACCTTCACCCCATGCACTGAAAAAAACGAGGTTATTTTCTATTTGATTCTCCTAATAGTAAATGAAACCATGAATATGAAATTAGCCATTAAAATTTTTGAATGGCACAAGTGCTACAATGATTAAGTCTCAGTTTTTTATTTATCACTGAAAAAATAGCTAGTTAACATATTCAAAAACACTAAGGTACACAACAGAACTCTAGGAACTGGATAATAAGATTTGTTAATACAGCTAAACTTTAACTTATTTGCACAACAATGGCAAAAAAACTTTTTGTTAATATTTACCTAAATGGAAAACTCATAACATAACTGTATGCAAAGTTGGCAGTAATTGCAAATAATTCCAGGGAAACTCCATAAATATTGATACCTTCAGCGCTCTTGCTATTTAATATTTTCAAAATTTGTGGAATTTTGACCAATATCGACCCGGCTATAATGCCGATGCCTAGGCCTTTGCTCAAAGTTGACTTAAAACAAGGAACTGGAAAGAAATACATTATTAGAAACAAATCAAATAGATTATTTATACTTTACAAAGGTATCTAACGATCATACTTACCATCTAGAAAGTTATAATTATTAAAATATTCATCGTAACACTTTTCCGACAAAAGTGTCAGTAAAATGCCTTTTAGAAATTCAGCCATGGTGTACTCAGACACTGAAGTAATTTGAAAGTTACACGATCAAACCCCACATTGGAATAAGTACTCGATTCGAAATGAGTCTAGTTCAGATTTTTATAATTAAATGATCTTTTTTTCAATCTATTTCACCCAAAAGTTCCAACGTCGGACTCTAAATATGACAAACAATGCGTTAAGCGCGAGATAGGCATGCGTCCGATATATCAAAACGAATCCAAAATCCGATTTCAAACACAAATCGATACCGAACGATTTCTCAACAAGAAAATCCGATTTCAGAAATCTAACCGAACCAAAACGCTAGCGATCTAATACCATAAGTATCCAAATGTAAATCGGATTCGAAATTCGTGCTTTCGTTTTCGGAAGTCAGATTTCGTGCTCGGAAGTCCGATTTCGATTTGCTGTTTACGGAAATCTATTGCTCTTCTCTGAGGCGGGATTATTTATCACTGAAAAGATATGTCGTCTAAAAACATCAAAAGTCGAGCAACTTACATTTTTGGATGCTAACCTGAAGTAATTAGGTTTGATTTTGTAAATGGTTTGAAAAATAATAAAAACAAACAGAAAAACAAAAAAAAATACTAAAAAAATATGTAAAAAGAAATCATTGTATATAAGTCGATTTTTAAATGCGCCGCAAAAGTTTTACTCTTAACCGTAAACATAACTTTTCTGCTAGTCCTAATGCTTTAAATCTAGGCGATTTAAAGCATGAAGGAAAATCGCGAATATCTACGAGTATCCTTGCTTCCTACAATTAATTGTTTGTGATTGTCGTTAGCTAATAAAACCAAATCATAACACAAACTAGTGAATTGGCTAAGTTTGGCACATCTGAAATCGGATATCTAAAAACGGATTTTAAAATCGATTTTGAAATCTGAAATCCGATAAATATCCGTTTGCGTTCAAAACCAAAAACGCCCATGTCTAGCGCGAGAGCGAATGACAGTGACAGATAACTGACACGACACGCATCACCAGGGTTGCAAGAAGTGATTTCCCAATTTCCGCCACATTAAAAATTATAACAGCAAAATCAACATGTCGATATATTTGTCTGTTTTTAATCTTATGTTAATTCAGATGGTATGAACATCGCATCGAATATTAACGCCATATTCTGCAAGCTGTCATTTTCACTTGATACTTATATTTTTAAATAATTTAAAACTTCTACCATGAACCTAAAAGGGCAACTACAAGTGGCAGGATGGGGAAGACACAAATAGTTGGAAACTTAAAAGAAAATGAATGAAAATATGGTGTGTCGATGGCGGTTGTTTTGTGATAGTGGATTATCACAACACATCCGTCATTTACATAAAATCATGTCAATAAGTGTCAACTTGTATAAAATAAACCTATTTTTTTTACTTTTTGTAGTAAAGGAGTAATGGTAGAAAGTAGTTTTTTAAAATAAACTATTATTATAAGCTCTTTTTACAATATAATTTATTAATAAAGGTCACTATGTACTTTGATATTCTACTATATCAATTACATTTCTGTACTAGGAATTTGGGCGACCGACACTTTAGTCCAAAAACTTACTCTTTCTAGACCGTTTTTCCTATCTTTTAATTCTAATAGAAAGTAGATCTTAGTGATTTTGTTAACATTATTTCTTTACAAATAGCAAGTGAGCATTCCTATTACCGTTAGGTATATAATTTCTTTGCTCATGTACAAGGATGAGTTTTCAATAACTAGTAAGTCAATGGTTAAGTGACGCTTTTATTTATTTGGATTAAAAATGGCATGGTTTGGCAAGATCATGTCACAGGGTATGATTTCCAATTTTAGATTTCTATCAGCTTTAACTTATTTTCGCCAAGACCAAAATTTTCCACTAAAATGGTGGACTAACACCCCAACCTGGCATTACTGCGCACCTCACATCCCAACTTTAGAAAAGTAAAGGGTACCATGTTTATACAGCTACTTCTTTAACCTTTATTTAATTAACACTTCGATGCTCTCACCATACAAGGAATTTAATTACTCTTTCCACAATAAAAAATACACCATGTCTACATCACAATGCGCCTTAACCTGACATGATTTTATGAATATTAAATTAGTTCGCCTTGTCAAAAACAATATAAGGCATTAATTAACCATTGAAAGTCACTTTTTATGCTAACTGTATAAGGTCTTAATAAAAACGCATGCGTCAAAAAGTTATGACTATTCTATGCAAGTTCATAAATTTTTCATTAAATTTTACGGCTTATTGCTATATACGGAAGAATATAGACCTTATTTCTTTGACTCTGAAAGCGCTGTTAGCGATATAGCAAGTACGGACCGCGAGGAAAAAAAGACGGCTACATAACGTACCATTCATTGGAATATCACAAATATTTTCTATTTTATTAGTTTAAAGTAACTTTTAGAACAATATTTGCTTCAAATGCGTTAAATTAACAAACATTGATTAGATACCTGTCGAAGAAACGAAGCTATATAACTATAAGTATTTTTTTCGCAATTTTTCACGGAACTCTACGGCATCTTCAGTTTTCAAGCAGTTCAAGCATTTCTTGATAGGGACACATTTTGACACTGATGCCAGATTGGGGAGATTCCCCCAAATTTGGGAGGTTTTTAAAGCGATAGGGGGATAATTGGGGGGATTTATGGGGAGAAGAAATTTGGGTTTGGGGGAAATGGGGAGTTTCTAATTCCATTTTTCATAGAAAAATAATACCACTTCATAGACGTTCAATCTGTTAAAAGTCACGGTCACCAGTCAATCAACAGTCTCTCTTTCTCATTCGATATAGAGCCTGACAAGGATCTAGACTGTTGTCAAATTTAATTTTATTAGGCTTAGAAAATCATGCAAGGACCCCTAAATCTAAAGCCCACCTAAAAAGTAGGTACTCTTCAGTCTATTCTGCCTAGCTCAGTCGCTAGCCAGTTAGTCGTTAATGGTCGTTAGCTTAAACTGCAAATCGATTCGACACTATCTATCATCTTGGCTCTGCCAAATGGTAATTTGACCTTTAAATTGTTTTCACCTTGGTAAGATAATGGCACTGCACCATCAAAACAAAGTTAACAAGATTAAAGCCTTCTGGCTATATATTAATATTTACGTGTCGATCGACAGTGGCGGCGCTAGGCGTCGGCGACGTCAGCCACCGCCGACGGCCTCGCGCCTGAGGGGGCCTCGCAAATTTTTTTTATAGGTTATCTATTTATTTTCGTTTCTCCTGGCCTGGCTTAGATAGTCGACCCTGGACATTTCGGGGAAAAAGCTAAGCAGATGATAATGACTTTTATTATTTGCGAACACGTGCGTGATGGAAGCGAGTAGTACTTTACGGGTATTCAGAATCGTCTGTCTGGCAACACTTTTTTTGTAATTAAATTTCTGTGTTTGTAATTATTTTTTGGCATCATTTGATTATCAACAATAAAACTCGTTTACTCATACGTTTTGTTATAATTTGGCTCACTTAATTTAACGGTTTTTTACTGCGAATTAAAAAAGGCCTCGCGAACTTGATGTCGCCGACGTCCACATGTGGTCTAACGCCGCCACTGTCGATCGAATATGTTTCTAGCTTAAGGAGTGGGAAAACGAGTGCGAAGATGTTGGTTTAGTAATGCAGGGTTAGCAGTTCTACCGATTTTACAAATCTCCTGTTTTTCTGAAATTTCTCCTGTTCTTCTACATAAATCAACTATTTTTCTAAGAGTATGATTTTCATATTTAAATTGCATGTTGAGTTTCGATTTCCGCCATTAAGAATGTAGGAACCTTAATCAGAAATAAATGTTATTGTCTAAAACTAAAAAACCAGCTTTGAGTGGTGGCAGAAGCTAAGAAACACATTCGTTACTGGCCTATATCTTGATTTAATTTTAGGGGGGGGGGGGGGTGCAAATCTGGGGACCTGGCATCACTGCAGTAATGGATGCTATTGTAAAAATACATATTTTGTAGTAAATATTGTATTTTTAATAAATATTTTGAATGTTGGGGGTTTTTTGATCGGTTCGATCGATTTCGGGTAAGTTTTGGGGGGAAGGTGAAATGTCTTTCGGGTAACACTGCATTTTGAGCGCACGTGGTATTTAATATCGTTACTTGCTTGTCATGTTCTTGTAAATAAACCATGTTCATAAAGTAAAAACTTGTTAAGGATAAAAAGCAACGGCAAAAGATCATTGTTCTATTATTGACCTAAAAACCGTTTTATAAGCAATTACGGTAATGGCCTAAAATTTATGTGTAGGTAGTGGTTTTCAATTACAAAAAACTTAATTTATCAAATGAATTTATTAAGATAAATTAATAACACAGAAGTTCTAGAGTAAGGTAAAATGGATTTACATAATTTTTGACACACCATAATCTTAGATTAAAACAAATAGGGAAGATCTTCCCTATCCGTATCTATACGGCACTCGCGGCTTAAAAGTGATCCGCTTAAATTGTGGTGCATGACCACAATTCGCTTTAGTCACATTCAAACACACTACATGTGCACTCAATATAACAATATTGCGTATATTCTGTTTATAAAGATAAAACAATGCCTTCGATGCTTTTAAAAAGATAACAAATTTCATGAAATTTCACGTCAACACTTTTTATTTGTAAAACTATGGAACACATTTTTATTTTCTCAAAAATCACAGTTTGTCATGAAAGTTATTTAGTTTTTCGCAATTTGTTATCAAGAGGACAACAATACAACTCAACCGTTTGTAGAGAGAAAAGAAAACGCAGTTTCGCATGCCAAGCGACGCGGAATCGCCGTTTCCCTCGCGCTGCGTCGAAACGTTCTGTCTCGCTCGCTCGATTGAATGTTTATTTACAGAAGTGTGCGTGCTTGCGTGAGAGTTGCTTATGTAGTTGAGTCGGAGCATATTTTATTTGATGCTAGTATGAGCGTATCGTATCTTCCCCCTTTGTTTTAATCTAAGACCAAATTTGTACGAAATGTATGCTTTACAAAATATTCACTTACTGCGGAATCACAATTCTGTCTCGCTCGCTCGATTGAATGTTTTTTATTTACAGAATTGTGCGTGCTTGCGTGAGAGTTGCTTATGTAGTTGAGTCGGAGCATATTTTATTTGATGCTAGTATGAGCGTATCGTATCTTCCCATTTTGTTTTAATCTAAGACCAAAATTGCACGAAATGTGTGCTTTACAAAATATTCTCTTACTGCGGAATCACAAAGAAAGTGATGATTATGTTAAATTATTTTAATAGCAATCTATAAGTTGTTCTAGTGAATAGGCTGCCCAATTAGTAGATGGCTGTTAATATGTATGACTTTAAATAACTGAACAAAGGATGTCACGACTCATTGTATTTTTGGGTGAATTGCACCCAAAAATTTGCCAAAACGATGAGGGTTTAATTTAGATAAGTTTATATATAGATTTTCTATAATAGATTTCGAACTTTAAACCCAACTGTCAAGGTTGAAAATCGATTGAAGAATTTTTTGAGTTTTGTGTAGGCTGATGAGGACAGCACCTCACAATTATATACAAACCATAACCGTATGTAATCCTTATATACAAACTCAGTTTAATATACAACACAGAAATCGTAAAGTCAATGAAATATGGTGATCAATCAATATGGGCCTGTGCTTAGCATCGAGTTAAGCTGCAACAGCAATGTTATAAAATACCGTCATTATACGGTGCGACTGTACATTTTTGCAAGACTGCAGTTTAATCAGGTCGATGCAATTTACGTCATTTACTTGATGTTTATCATATTTAATCATTTAGTTTAACATTATCAGTTATCAATTAAATAAACTATCAAATCAACTATATTATAATCATCATCTCTGGGTGTTCCGTACCGCCATGGTGATGGAAGCTACACAAGTGCTGCGTAAGGAGTGAACATTGCTGTTTTTGAAACAAATCATATGACCATAAAATGCAGCGCATCACGTATTATAATATGATAATTACTCATAATGATCTAAGATGAGCGAGTTGAATATATCACACCATAGCCCGTTATTGATTAGTCATAACACAACCGTAGAAATGATTGAATTTCGGCAAAATAACAAATTAACATCGAATTCATTACATGAACCTTGATACATACTTATCATGCTTACATGTTTCTTATGTTAGTAGAAATTTTCATTCAGATTATTATATGTAGGTATGGGTAAACATTTCGCAGAACGGTATAAAGATAAAATTGGGTAATAATATACATTGTATTTGCGGGACACAAACAGCCCATTTATTTTCCAAGAGAATAAACCGATACGGCGGCATCAGGTAAGTGGCCAAAATTATTTTATAATGTTATTACTAAATTTATACTGTCTCAGAAATGAAGGAGTAATTTTACTTATTGTACCAAACAAAACGTACCAACAGAATTTGTTAAAAATAAATCTGTATTAAGTTCCTTATTAAAATTAAATCCCGCGTAATTAATGGACACATTGTCATTATGCTAAAAAGATAATGACTCAAATCAATGCAAGCAGTCTATAATAATATATTTATACAAAATCTAATTAAAGACATGAGGCTTATAACTCGCCTATCTTATTTTCTACGAACAAAAATATTTACAATAAAATTTTAACAAGATTATTAGTACCTAGAATTTCTTCAAATCATTTTGAGGTCATTTACAACATCGCAAAATAATATAGGTAGCTCACGAATAGTTATTATTATCACGAAATTTTGAAACACATTATTACTAATTAGAGTTTCCTAGGTGTTTCGACATAAATAACCAATTCATTAAACTAGTTTAATTGTACATGTTAAATTGCATGTTTTGGATGCTTTTGCAGAATCAATACCACAATATGTCTGATGACGAAGAAAAATTCAAATATAAGTGCTATTCCTATTTTTAAAGGTTTTTCACAAATATACATATATTGATATATCAATCTTACACTCATGACTATATGTCGCATAATGATTTGTTAAATCGAATTTTCAATCGAAGACACTGATATTTAGTCAATGGTGATGACATTTCTCAATGTTACTGAAAAAAAAAATAGGATTTTTGCAAAAAAGCGAGTCGCCTTAGTAGTAAGATTGCGAAAATAACCGTTAGCTTATTGTACATATTCTTGGTTTTTGGGTTCTTGGCTTCTCACTAAATCAATTTAAACACCAGAAAAACATTTCGTTAACAGTAAAATTGAAAACAGTTGAATAACAAATTTGCAACTAGCACTTCTCATGGCTAATCGTGTTTGATTTTTGTCAGCAGGTTGTCCTTTTCATACTTTAGAGTGTGAAAAGGAGATACTGCGGTCAAGTTTAAAAATCACACTAATATTATAAAGGCGAGAGTTTGTGAGTGTGATGTTTGTTACTTCTTCAAGTCTAAATGGCTGGAGCGATTTTAATAAAATTTGGAATGGAGTTAGCTGACACCCTGGATTAACACATAAGCTACGTTTAACTGCGGGAAAATATCCCTAATGAACCGCGTGTAACAGATAGTAACAAATAACGATAAGTCATGTGAACCGGCAACATACAAACAGGCAAATAGTGGTATATCTAACAGGTGTGCTCAATATAGATTAATGATAAAAAAACTAGATAACATAAAAGTTTTCAGTGAATTTTATTCCAAACTTATTTATCAAATACTAGATTTAATTGCAGAAATGAGTTTCAAGTCTTCAAAATTAAAGTTTATGTAATTAAAAAAAAATGCTTTTGTATAACTAGCTATCAATATATCCTAATTGCAACTGGACAGGTTTTGTTCAAAAAAGTACATATCCTTTGAGTTTTCTGTTTCAGTTCGCAATTTCTTATTAGGTACATACTCTCAAAGAAGATTGTTATCTCCTAATAATTTCATTTTTACAGTGAAGTGAACCAACATTGACACAAGTAAAACTTAAATGACATAAAACTTATTCAATGCTAATTAAGTAAATATCTCTTAGAATTATCTAATTTAATTTGTTACTTATTTACAAAATTTATACACTTAATTGTGTGGATGAGCATTTACTTCTCAATTTTAAACATAATTAATGATGTAACTTAAGCAAATCTATTTGAAAACGAAAGCATTGGTTGTGTATTTTTATTATACCAAGGACGCATATAGTTACATTCAATGTAAACACATTCAAAGTAAAAATCTGTCTAAATATTTTAAGAGCATAACCAAAAAATTATCTCACAGCAATAATAAGATTTTTACAGCCTCATTACTGTAAGATTATTATGAATTATACATTAAGTGATTTCATTCAATGCAGTATAATTTTTAATAGTAATATTATTTTCCTATTGATTCACCATGACTTTCATTTGCATAATCATGTTGTTATATCCCATGCTAAGTGTAACAAATGTCATTTAAGAGCATCAACCAAACAGATGTACATCAAACTGTAAAGTACCTAAATTTAAATAGAAAGAAATTACACATCTGGTATATAAAGTTCTTATTGCCATCATTGTACTGCTTCATAAATACTCATGATAGTGGTTTCAATGAAAATGAAAGTTTTGGCCGTGAATTGTTTTTGCCTAAGATTTTCTTTTGTTCTTCTTTTACTCTTTTTTCCTGTTCTTTTTTCAATTTCTGTCTCTCTTCATCCATTTTTCTCTGCTCCTCAATCATTGCTAAACGTTCCTCAGCCTGAAATATTGTTAAATAAAAACAATCTGTTCAAACTTGTATTTACAAATGAGCACAAGCAGAATATCCCTGAATTAAACACACGTTTCCTTAATAATCCATAATAGGTAATGAAAAGTCTAAATTATAGCATTAAACAATACACACCAGCTTTCGATGTGCTTCTTCAATTTTTCTATTATTTTCTGCCATGATATCTTCCAGTTCTTTCCTTTTACGATCTTCTTCCTCCTGTATAATAAAACAGACATGTTAATTTCTGTCCCTATTAAGAATTACATACAACCACAAAAATAAACAAGTCACAATTAAAACTTATTTTATTTATTCATGTAAAAACTTTTTTTTAATTATTGTTCCAATTAGAATAGTGTGTTAATACCAGTATGCCTATTAACTGTTTCCATAAGAAGGTCAAATATAATATGAATAGCATAAAATCAACTAGTATGTATTTGTATATCAATATTGAAGGTGTTTGCATTCCTATCAGTTTAATGGCTACTTTTGGAATAACAAACATCATAATCATTGTATTGAGCCTCCATTTGTTTAAAAAGTGTCAACAGAAAATGTTATACAAAAAATAGATTCAAAAAATACCTTCTGCATTCACGTCAGGATCCTCAAGCAGCATCTCCATTAAATTCTTACAGCTTCTGGCTCTTGAGCAGTCTTCTGACCTGACTTATAGACTACGTGACTGCCAAGGACAGTCAAGCGAACAATTTTAAAATGCTAGCCGGTAGCCTTCACGGCATTTGGACATACGTTTGAAATAAGTATGACAACCTCCAGTAGCGTAAAAAACATGCATCAATGTAGTAGTAGTAATTGGAAGGTGCCAAATTAAAATGAGGTTTCAACCTCAGTGAGTGACAATTGAATTTAAGAAACAAATTCTTGTAAACACTCGTACTACACCTGACTGGACCTTTAACAGATATCATCGAAATATACTTTTATTAGTTTCTCTGACATGTTATGTTGATATTAAACATTGATTATATACACTTAAGTGTGTTTAGAAGATGCAAGAACAAATCACATTGTTTTTGCATGGAAAATGTCTTGTCATGTGTAAGAGCAATTGATATATAGTATTGCCTTTGCACATGACTGATAGGTGAAGAGGTCAGTTACCTGACGAGCCAGCTCCTTCTTCCTCTGTTGTTCTCGTTGTTTCTCCAATTCCTCCATCATCTCTTTTTCCATTTTTCGCTTAGCTTCTTCAACACGCTTTGCAACTTCTTGTTCAATTTCATCTTTTCGTTTTTCTAATTCTTCTTCAACACGCTTCTTGACAAGCAACTCTATTCTTTTGGCTGCTTCTTCTTCAACCACCTAACGTACAATAATAAAAAAGTAATATACATGATTGTAAATAGTTAATAAACATTAAATCAATACATTCAAAAAATGAAAACATTATTTTAGTTCACTTTACCTTTTGTTCTGCTTCTCTTACACGTCTTTGTCTTTCCATTTCAGCTAAGCGGTCAACTTCATCCATCTTATTACGTCCTTTTGATTTCTTTCTGTGGCTTCTGCTGCCATCATATGAGCCACCACTACTACTAGACGATGAAACCGAATGAGATCTTTTTCTGTAATATATTAACAGGAACACATAAACGTTAATTTATTAGTAATTAAAACACATACATAACCCTATACCTGGTAGCATATTTTCACAAAAAGTTTCATTACTACTGCAATATAAACTTAGCTTGCTAAATCACACAGTACGTGAAGATGCTTACCGGGATTTGGAACTGCGTTCCCTGGATTTTTCAATGTGTTTCGAAATTCTGCTTCGCGACGAAGAGCGATCCTTGGATCGGCTCTTCTTTCGGGAATGTTTACTGCTTTTGTGATGCCGTCTAGGAGATTTGCTTCGTGATCTAGAGCGTCCCATATTATTCACAGTTGATCAAAATTAATCGAACACTTGAATAACGTAACATTAATTTCATGCAAATAAATTCAATGTTGCCCAAATTTATTTGACAAATGATATGATTGACCGACCGACGCCATAATCGTAGGCACAGGGCTGCGTTCCAAACCTACACTCTGAGTTCTGAGTGCAACTTTGTGGTTGTTACCCGACGTTTTTGATATAAATGTATAAAACTTAGTTAAATTTTAATTTTTAGGCATTTAACTAATAGATCTTTAAATCTAAAGATGAATTTATAAAACTTGTAGATTTTGACATTTGTTGCAACTAGAGCGTAACTTAAGTTTGGAACTTTGGAGCAAATTGCTCTTTGTTCAAAACGCAACCCAGCAGTCACAGATTACAGAATATTCACAGACGGTTAAAAATAAGACGCAGTGATTATTTTCTCTCTTGTTTATGCTTAAAGAGATTCCGTTTTAGTGCTTTCGCCACTAGATCTAGTGAATTTCTGGGTGTCTTAAGTGCATTTTAATTCACAGCAATGCACTAAAAATTATCTAGTGCAATCTAGTGGATGATGTAAGGTTAACCGTTTTTTGCTCATTAACTTGATCGTGAAAATGGTATCATATCATCAGAGCACCCACATGGGTTCTTTCTTAGGACCACACTACGCCGCCGGGCACTGATCCCTAACTACCCACAAGTTATCTGAGCAAAAAAATTGTAAGTTTTTTGTCTTTGAGAGACTGCCTGGCGCCATTCCGTGCCAGCGGAGACTGCCGCAAACTCAGCTGCAGGCCTTGAGCGCACCGTAAGGCGCCGCACTGCCAGGATCGCGCAGGCTACGCAGCATGGCTAACAAAGCGTCCCCGACGCCGCCGACACCGCAGCTCGACGCGTCGGATCCGGATAGACTGAAACGCTGGCTGTGTTCCTACGTCCGCTTGTTGGAGTTCCATTCGGGCGAGACACCTCTGCCCTCTGCCCCACTGACGAGATGGCCCTGGAGGCCTTGAAGGCGCTAAGTGGCTCGCCGTTTGTGCTTCCGCCTCCCTCCACATCACACCCTTGGAAAAACCGCCTCACCTCCACGTCGCCGCGCAAATCTGTTGACAAGCGCCCTCGCAAGTCGCTAAGTAGCGGCGACCAGCCCGCATCTACGCCAACATCTCGATCATCATCACAGTCGCAAACACCAATAGCGCATTGCGACCACCAACCGAGGCGAGTAATCACCACCGACGCCACTGCTTTACCGACGCCATCGGTGAGCTACGCACGGGTAGCAAAATCTCCAACTACCCCCGCAGTCGGAAAATTATCACCACCTACCGCCGCATCGTTCACCGCTGTGCCGCCCGTGCAACCAGCCACCGGCATAGTCCGCACAGGTCCGACAAATTACTCCACCCCACCTGATGTTAAGTGAAGGTGAAATCCAGACGTGTAGACAGCTGATATAGCAGTTCTACCTGCCACACCAGCCATCCTCATCCTGCCGGCCTGCATGATGCTTCTTACGCCTCTTTTAAAGGATCCCAGGTTGTAAGAGGGATGGGAACACGTGAGCGGGCAGACCATTCCATTTACGGAGTGCGACAAAGAAAGGAGTCACCAAATTTCTTTGTACGCGTTGAAATTGTGGCCACAGTTAGACGGTGATAACGTAAGACAGCGCGCGTGGTTCTCTTAAGGAAAGGGGAAGGTGGAATAAGAGAGAATAACTCCTCAGAATACTCGCCGTGGTGTATCTACAGACGATAGAACGCGCTTAGTGACGCCTGTAGATGTAAAACAACCGATTTAAAACGTTTTAAACAAAATGTTGCCGTTTTAAACCCCAAATAAATCGTTTTAAACAGTTGAAAACTGGCATACAAAAATAAAAGAACTATGGTTTTTACACTTCAACAATGATTTTTTTTTATTTACCAACACAGAGTTTTTAACTTATGATAAGAGTTTTTATTTATCTTAGGTAGGTAATACCTACGCTTGGTCGCGGATGGACCAACTAGAACTAAACTCGCTAAGTATATCAATATTATTATTGTAATAACTTTATACAATTTATAGGTACTCCGTTATAATCCTACCTCGGTAAAATCAAGATAATGTAGTTATAATTAAGAAAAACATGGTCATCAACACCAACCGTTTTAAATCGAAAAAAAAGGTTTATTTCGGTTTTAAACGGTTTTTTTTCGTTTTAAACTGATTGGTTTCATTGGTTTTAAACCGGCCTAAGGGTGCGGCCAGAGTGCACTCAGATTCAGACTCAGATTCAGATTTCGAAAACAAGCGCGAGAAATAAACAGTGTAGTCTAAGCAGGTTGCTTGATTTTTCTCGCGCTTTGTTTTCTGAGTCTGAATCTGAATCTGAATCAGGAGTGCAATCTGGCCGTACCCTTCGACTACACTGTTTATTTCTCGCGCTTGTTTTCAGAATCTGAATCTGACTCTGAATCTGAGTGCACTCTGGCCGCACCCTTAGGCCGTATACAGAAAGAAAGCCGAAAGCCGATCGGCGCTTATCGGCGCCGATTCTTCCTACATAAAGGAAGCCGATTAAAGCAGATCAAGCAAAATGTCGGACTCATCGGACGATGATTTGGTTTTGTTAGGAAATGTTTATTTAAAAATGCGAAAAACAGGTATACATCCTATAAATAGAGAAAGGAAACGTTTCGGAGAATACCATCATTTATTTGTTAAAGAATTGAAATTTGATGATCAAAGATTTTATGCATATGCAAGAATGACTAAAAAAACATTTAATTACATTTTGGATTTAGTGGAAAACCGTTTGATGAAGAATTGGTGTAATTGGCATAAACAACCAATCCTTCCAGAAGAAAGACTTGTTGTCACCATTCGGTAAGTACGAAACAAATAATTTTAGCGCTTAGTTAATAAAAGATAAAGTTATTAGATTTATAAAAAGATTATAACTTAGATTGATTTAATCTAAGGATAATAATTCAAATACAAATTATTTATAATTCGACAATTAGGCGCCGATCAGTACGGCGCCAACGCCCTTCGAGGTATCTATGATGACATTTTATGTCGCACGCGTCACAAATTCTTCGAGTGCATTTATCGTAAACCGGCTGGATATACTAAATAAATATTTCCAACACTCACACCAATTAGCCTAGCCCCAAAGTAAGCACTATCAGGCTTGTGTTACATCGATAAGTATATTTATATAGAAATAAATATTAAACATCCATGACTGGAGTACATATGCTCATATTCATTACATAAACATCTGTCCTCACCGGGATTCGAACCCGGGACCTCTCGAGTCGGCGACACCATGAAACACGGCGTTTAAACCCCGCGCGGACCGTTGGACAGTCGAGATTTCGCAGAGCTCCGTGAAAAAATGCGAAATAAATACTAAAGTGTCATTTTCTCGACAGGTATCTAATAAACGTTTGTTAATTTAACGCATTGGAAGCAAATTTTGTTCTAATACTTACTATAAACTGATTTAATAGAAAATATTTGTGATATTGAAATGCATGGTCGGTAATATAGCTGTCTCTTTTCCTCACGGTCCGTATCTGTTACATTGCGAATAGCGCATTCAGAACTGCGCGTAAAATCAAATGAATAAGGTGTATATTCTTCAATCATATAGCAATAAATTCGTAAAATTCTACCTTGCTTGCATTTTGAACTGTCATAACTCTGACGCATACTTTTTAATTAAGACCTTAAAAAGTATGCATTAAAGGTGACTTTCAATGATTAAATAATGCCTTATATTGTTTTTCACTACGCGATCAATTTACTCCGTGCTTAGTTCCGTGGATCGTCCAATGTACCTATTAGACAGGTTTCGGCCACGATTTTGTTCGTGAGGTTGTCTTGTATCTAGGGTATTTAATATCCTTGAAGGGCTCTTAAGACATAGGTAATATTTAAATAAAGAAGTTGTAATACTTAACCGATTTAAATGTTCACTAACTTTATGTAAGTCGACAAACTAAAACAAAATCAATTAATACCTACTCACCGTCTTCATTCATGGCCTCGCTTATTTCTTTCCAACATTTGTCAACCACGTATCTATTACAGTGCCTTTTGTCGGTTTTGTCCCACAGAGGTTGTTTAGTGAATACTAAGGATATTTGTTTCTTAGGTTTTCACGCACATCACTCATTAAATAAAACTAGTTTTTACGGGTTAATGCACGAAACTTTATTTATTTATTGACGTTTCGCAGCCTTTTCAGGTCTGCATCGTCAGAATAATGATTTTATTTAAAATTGTCGAGCTACCTTCGAAAGAATTATATTGTGCGTTCGGTTATTTCATTGGAAGATTTTTAAAATTTTATTGTCTATGTATGAATTTATTATTTAATTTACTTAATAAAGTATTTTATTTAAAATTCTTGTTTGTAATTTTGAGTTTATTTATTTGACCCTAACTACCGTAAACTACCACCGGTTCCAAAATTGGGAGACCTTCCTGAGAAGAACCGGCGAAACAAACTCAAGAGAGGCTTTCTATCTCCTTCTTATGTTAAATTATGCAAACAAAAAGAACTAATAGTATCTGATGGTCTTGCAGTGTGTGCTCGGGGTTGGGATTTTATCTCCTGTATAATAGGTTCCCAAGCTGGTGGTATATACCAACCATCTTCCCTATTGAAATTTGGATATTTTTTAATCTCAATAGCCTCGCGCATCATTCGAGGAACGAACCGCCGCTCAGCTGCAAGGATCTGTGGTCTATCAAATCTAATGTAGTGGTTTGGTCCCCCTAATGCATGTTCACACACTGCAGATTTATTTTCGCGCCTATGTTTCATATCTGCGATATGTTCTTTTACCCGAGTCCCTATACTCCTCTTTGTTTGCCCGATGTAGGAGAGCCCACAGTCGCATTCAAGTTGTAGACACCAGCAACTTGAAAGGGTATATTGCACTTGACCGGTCGTAGAAACTGGTTGATCTTCTTAGGCGGCTTGAAGTATGTATTGATTGAAGCACGCTTCAGAATCCTCCCAAGCTTGTCAGTGACTCCTTTCATGTAAGGTAGTATAGCAGGTTGTCGGTCGACTGTGCTAGGTTTGGCGCGACTGTGACGGCGACGTGGTACATTCAGGTTATTATCCTTCAGTACTTGCTCGACATGCTGAAGTTCAGCTGCCAGGTGTTGTTCGTCACAGACACCCCGTGTTCTCTGAAACAAAGAGTTTCCTACGGCAGTTAATTGTTTCGGGTGATGGTGTGAGTCACCATTGAGGTACCTATCAGTATGAGTCACTTTGCGATACACAGTATGGCTTAAACTTTGGTCAGGATTCCTGATTAATAAAATATCTAGAAAAGCTAGTTTACTATCTGCCTCTAACTCCATAGTGAATAGGATGTTGGGGTGTATAGAGTTAAGGTGATTTAAAAAGGCAGAAATTTGATCTGTTGGGAGGATTGTGAAAGTATCTTATATAGCCTGGGTGTGACAGGTGCTGCGCCGAGAGCCCTCTTCTCGAAGTCTTCCATGAAAATATCGGCGACAACAGGTGAGACAGGGGAACCCATTGCAACACCCTCCATTTGTACATAGAAGTCATCCCCCCATAACAGGTAGCCAGAAGTAAGGCAATGCTCCAGTAATACTGCATATTCTATAGGCATATTATTTTCAAGTAGCTTCTTCTTAGTGATTTCAATGCAATCCTGTACTGGTAGGCATGTAAATAAGGACTGAACATCAAAACTGACCATGATTTCATTGTCCATGAGACGTTAAAAATCTTCCAATGAAATAACCGAACGCACAATATAATTCTTTCGAAGGTAGCTCGACAATTTTAAATAAAATCATTATTCTGACGATGCAGACCTGAAAAGGCTGCGAAACGTCAATAAATAAATAAAGTTTCGTGCATTAACCCGTAAAAACTAGTTTTATTTAATACTAAGGATATCAAAATGTCATTATCCATTTTTCTACTTAAAAAATAATTGCGTGTAGTAATTGACGTACCTGTTGTCGTTGTTTATTAATTTAAAATTGCAGCTGACCAGCGCGAGTCGGCGCCGATCGGCGCTGGTCCATAGAAAAAGGATTGGCGCCGATAAGCACCGATCGGCGCTGATCGGCGCCGATCGGCTTTCGGCTTTCTTTCTGTATACGGCCTTACATCTATAGTGACGCCACATCACGGCGTTTTTTAGCGGATATTAGCGCCCGTAAGGGTTACGGGGTCCTCAGTGAGCAGCCACTGCTGGGGCTCGTAAGGCTTGCGGGAGCCAGGTGTGAGGTCCATAAGTAAAAAAGAAAGTAAATTAGTGTCATTGAGAAACTGTAATTATCTAATAATAATATCTGTAATAATGATATCCGCTCTTGAAAATCTGTAATTATAGAAAAAAAAATGCTTTACATTTATGCTCTATTTGACCGGATAACTCTCGAATAACTCTTTAACGATGCACCGATGTCTAAATAGCACACATGCTCATTTTAGAATATGTTATTATTATTATTTTATTTAAATGATAAGATTGTCTGGTGTTGTATTGGTCCAGCTCAACACAAAAAGTAGTATTAAGAATGATTAAAATTATAAAACTGGACTTTAAAAAAAATTGAGACGGTAGGGCCCTGTGCCTCTGGTTTTTTTCCGGTTCTCATTGGCTATACAGGTACGAATACGGCAGCAGTTTTCGATACAATTCACTATGACGTGCAAAAAGAGATTTGTAAAAAAATCCAATATAGTTAATTTCTTGCTCTTTTGGGGTGGGAAGGACCTTGATCCTCGTCTTCGTTTACATTTTCTTTGTCTGTGTCATTTTCTCCATCGGAACCCTGTAGGGAAACGGTCAGAGGATCCTCCTGTTCTTCTTCACCTTCGGAGTCAACTTGAGGGACCCCATTCAAGCAGTTCCCCTGGCAATTTTGGCACGCTGGGGAACAGGAACGCAGGACACCCCCTTTAGCCAATACGTCTACTACCCTTTTTTTTTATACGCAGGCAAAAAATACTATTTACAGACGACGGCGCCTTTAAGAGGCACACCGCCGAACGGACCTCACACCTGGCTCCCGCAAGCCTTACGAGCCCCAGCAGTGGCTGCCCACTGAGGACCCCGTAACCCTTACGGGCGCTTTACGGCATAATATCCGCTAAAAAACCCTGCGAACACCCTCTAAGCTGCCTAGTGCGAAGCCGCGGAATCCCCGTTTAGGGATTCTTCCGCGTCTCCGCACCTAGCAGCCTCCCGGCCTTGCCGAGGTTCCGCGGCAGGGGTCTCCCGGGGTATCGCGAGGACCCCACAGACGTGCGCAGGACGGCCCGCGCGTGGGGGCTGAGTACGCGGCCTAGTGCCCACCGTACCGCCCCCATACGTCTACTACACTAACAATTTTGTCCTTAAATAAAAAAAAAGGCAATTGTTTCTATTATTGAAGATAATTTAATGCTCTACAACCCTACGGCCGGCATTTATTTTTTGGGTGCATTGTTGAAGAGTTATCCGGTCAAATAGAGCAAAAATGGGAACAAATTTTTTTTCCATAATTACAGACTTTCAAGAGCGGATATCTCGAAAACTATACAAGATATCAAAAAATTTGACTGAATAAGACTTGTAGCAAATTTAATCAGCTTTCACTTTTGTGAAAGTCTCATGTCGCTAGGATGCATAGTTTTCGAGATATATGCGAAAAACCTAAAAATGGGACCTTCAAGCCCCCCCTCCCCCCGGCTTAAGGGCTACGGGCGGGGACTTTTGATATGTTTACCTCCTAACTAGTCCTAACAAAGTCACGAAGTCAAAAATTGTGTTCTATGCAATTCCCTCTATAACTGTTTTTGAGCATTCGTTGCCTGGACTATAACTATTTATATAATTTAAACAACCTACAAAATAAAAAATATATCACGCCCAGCGCCGACGTAAGGAATGGTGCCCAATAGGCTAGCAGCATTTCCACGTTGGATACCAAGGTAGCTGCCAGTCTTTTGATCACCAGTCACCTCGGTGAGTCTCTTCGACAATTCCTTAAATAAGGAACAAGCACTCGGACCCCATGGTCCCATAGTCTCAACACCAAACGGCACAAATATGTAGTTCTAATTGAGAGCTGAATATTTGCACCGCTTGGAGCACTCAGCAGAGGCCGTGGCCGCGCCCGCAGCAAGGGAGGTACTACCTGTATAGCATGGAGCAAGCGTAAACGCGCAAGTTGCGCCCCATACAAGTGGACGACCCTGCTTCCAAGGAATGAGCGTCATTCCGTCAAGTCTCTTGCCATCGTCTGTGAAGATACCGCTAGGCTCTAGACCCGCTGGCACATTGAGTACGATAAGAGCTCAACGGTGACGTCAATAATGCAGGCGTGGCGGGAGACTCGACCAGCGCTCATTTGGCATGAGAGACCTTGGTGTGCCAACTCACCGACGCGAGTTCCGCAACGACAGCGATGGGGGTAATTGGCCTTGACGCCAAGTCTATGTGAAACGGTAAAAGACAGAGTCCTCCTGTTAATCAAAGCCCCGTATCGGCTGAAGGAGCAGCTTGCACTAAGTAACCAGACTCTGCCTGAAAGACCGCTAGAAGGCGAGCACGCTCAGCTACGTCTTCATAGGAAGCTAAAAGATGAAGACTTAAGACGCAGACAGAGTGGCTCGTCCCATTACCTCTGCGAAGATAAGGAGCAGGATGGTGAATCTACTCTCGGGCATGCCCTACACCAAGCATACCTGGCCTCTGCAAGGTGAGCCAGCTACACTACGCCCCAAATAGGACGTAGTATTTTATTAGAGAGCTCGGCTGTACCATGCATGTGCAGAGACAGAAAAGGGGGTAGAGCAATGTGTGAAATATGGCGAGTACCTAGTCCTCCGAAATGAACAGGCAGAGGCCTGCTTCCAAGCGTTATCAGAAAATGAACAATTTAGAATTCTGGAAAGTGTAATAGTCCGGGAGCCACCAATCCTGAGAGCTCCGTGATCACGGATTCTAATATTTTTAATAAAAAATAAAAGTGAACGTTTAGACGAGCAAGATTTGCTTGGTCGGCGTGGATTTGATTGGCTGGAAATATTTTAATTAAATTATTTATTATTAAATTTCCATATTTTGTTTCCGTCATCACGGATTTTGATCAATCTTAAATAGAATTTTGTGTGAAATATTATGAACAAGAAAAAATCCGGCCGACCAATAATTTTTAGCCAGAAAGGTCACGCATACCTATTTGAATGGTGTGATAAGGGGTAAAATTTAACCATTATCACGGAAACTTTTTTCTAGATAACGACAATGGTTATCATCTCACATTATATATATATATATATACATTCAGGTAATTTTCTATATAATTTATTATATAATCAACACAAATAAAATTTTTCCTGTATTCCCTCTTTTCCATATTATAATTAGTATAATAAATAGTTAAAAAGTTAAGGAAGAGACTAGAGGTAGAAGGGAGACTCTAAAAGAAATGTCATCAGTAAGTGAAATCTATAACAGTATAATCCTCACTCACACAATAAAATTTGGTATGCGCGATACTTTCGGCAGTTTGTAAGCACGCATACCAAGATAATTATAAATGTGTTATTAAAACGCGTGAATTAAAAAATAAAAAAAGGTTTCCGTGATAATGGATAAATTACCCCTTATCACACCATTCAAATAGGTATGCGCGACCTTTTCGGCTAAAAATCATTGATATGAGATTTTTTCTTGTTGAACATAATATTTCACACAATCTTCTATATAAGATTGATCAAAATCCGTGATGACGGAAAAAAAATATGGAAATTTAAAAATAAATATTTAATTAAAATATTTCCGGCCAATCAAATCCACGCCGACCAAGTAAATCTTGTTCGTCTAAACGTCAACTTTTATTTTTTATTAAAATATTAGAATCCGTGATCTTTCAGGCTTTCAGGATTGGTGGCCCCTCGCCTATAATGAGCAGTAAGGTTGAAACGCTGCATTACACACAAACTTATCACTTAGATAATTTACCGTACCATTTATTTGATTGTTAGATGATTACCTATCTATTAAATGTATTCTTTAAATAAACTAAATTTGTGTATTTAATTGATTTATTTTGCTATTGATCTATTGTCAGATTGTTATTAATTTCTTTTTAAATATTCCTTTTCTTTTCTATCGATAAAATTTATTATTTTGTAAGAAGCTTTAAGAATCTCAGTTTCTGTTATTTTACGGTTAAAATCATAATCGGACGATATTATTGCTTCACTAGTCCTTTCCACGTGTTCCTGAGATCTGTCATCTAATTTACTAAAAGTAAATCCTGCTTCTACCTTATTTAAAACGAAGTCCTTGCAAGTAGATTTTAAAAAAACGTTTATATCAGTGACACTTTTAATCTGATCAAGTAAGACCAAATTATTTTTCACTGCAGAGTTACCTGGTTTATTATTTGAATTCATAGCCTCATTGCCTAAATTCTTTTCTGATGATATTCTGTCTATAATTTCATCTAGCTGCTCAGTAATAACAGTAGCTGCTACGTCCAATTCGTTTTCAGACTCTGTATTATGGGAACAACATACCATCTCAATACTTTCATACTCATTGGAAACTCTTTCTTCATCGTCTTCTGGCGATATCATTACATCTTGATCGTAAAATTGTTTTGATTTACTGAGTATGGTTCTAATATCATTTTCTCTGTCAGTATCGGGATCTTCATAAGACTCTTTCAATTCTATTTTTCCTTTATAGAAGTAATCTGAAGATAGAGTATAACCACGGACAAATAAATCTGCAGCAGTACCGTATTTAGGTGTTGATATAGGTTGACGGTAAATACATTCGAATTTTCCAGTCGAAGATTTTGTGTCAGAAGGATAATCAACAACAACTGAGGACAATTATAATACACGTTTAATAAAGTAATATTCAAAAACTCCTATTCTTTTTATTGGCAATCTAACGTTTTTATTCAACTACGGCATTGAAGGTAGTTAAATATACCTATATAGTATGTTTGATCTACTTTCCGGTACTTATTTAAGGTACAATATTTTAGTATATGGTCACCCAAACAATTAAAACTATCAAACTATTCGCTTCTGAATCTTACCTTTAATGATGTCGGAAACAACAGCCGGACATATTTTGCCTGTAACTGGTGTAGTGTGATTGAGGTCTGGGCAAGAGTTAATTTCAATTAACCAGGGTCTGTACTCCTTGTCTAGGATAAAGTCACAGCCATAGAGTTCAAAACGATTTTTGCTGACATTTAGAGTGTCTTGGCAACTCAACATGATTCCAGTGATGGATTTCTTCATTCCAGGATAAATAATGTTATCCCAAACTTTATTTTTACCTATTTTTAATAAATAATCTTTGAATGTTTCCGAATGCCACATATTGCTTTGCGGTAGCTCTGCGTGTCTTTCCTTACAGTTTTTATACTTCCTTTGTACTGCGTTATTGGTTAAATGAATTGACTCGTGGTAATTCTTGAGATTATATTTTTGTGAACTGAATTTTAAATAGCAGTCTTTATACATCCATATCACTAAAGGATATGTACTTGTAACCAAGTAGTACTGCCTTATATCAAATTTGGTTTCGTGAATCAAGAGTGGCTCCTCTATAAGTAAGAAATAATAATTTAATAACTGAATATAAGTAATGAATATGCAATAAAATAGGGAATACTATAATAAGCATTTGCGTACAATAAACTAAGTTTATAAAATGAATGTGAAGCTTTCGGTTATAAAATAGGTAGTTAGTAGTTGTTTCCATGAAAGATAGGGATAAATATTAAAGTGTTATTATCCTTACCAATATATTTTTGAATCACAAACTTGGCATTAGCTTTGTTTAATAAATCAGTGATTACAGCTAGTTTGGATGCCATTCTGATCCCCCTACCTCGGGAACAATGAGCTGGTTTAATGATCCATATATTGTGGCATCCTTCGCAACTCAATTGCGGACGAAATTTATATAGCTCTTTCAATAAAAACTTAGCATAGCCCAAATACAGGGGAAGTTTATTTTCTTTATCATCCTTAAAAACATCCTGTTTCGCTATAATTCGATAATATTTTTTCAGAAAAGCATTCCACTGACCACTACTCGCTGATACCAAACATCTATCGATGTCTTTGTGCTGTTTACGAAATAAATATTCTTTGCATCTGTTTAAAGCAAACACGAGCACATTCATTGATATTTTTCCAGATTCCATGAAGACTGGTCGATTGTTCGCGACCATAGAGAGAATCCATTTTAACAAGCTAGTACAGGCTGTGATTTTATAATCTTTTGCAAACTCGTCAACTTCACCCAAATCGCAACTGTTGTAAGTTCGGGGACCATTCACTTCGGCAATGTCCTCAATGTAAAACCAATAATTCCTCTTCATTGATGAACACAATCCTTGTTTCGTTGTCCACGTTGCGTAAGTCCTTAACTTGTTGATGACTGGGTTACATTCTTTTGTCATATCAATAAGCGGAGGTTCATAATGCTCTTCTTTCACATTCCAAACAAAATTGGGATTATACTTTTCAACTAAATTAGATAGTAGAAGTCTCTCTAATTCTCCATGAATATCCGACTTACTTGTTATTGTGCCGTTTCGAATTTTGGTTAAATTCATACGATTAGGTGGGATTTTTTCCACCCATCCTCGTTCGAGCAAGGCCTTGCGTACAGCGTTGCAGCTTCCATATACAGAAAATATTTTATTTTCTTTTATGGCATTCGAAGCAAGATCTTTGAGTTTTAAATAACGTGAAGTACGTGTTTGACAACTGCAAATTACATAGCTTTTCTCTTTGGGAGATAAACCCGTTGGATGATTATTAGTTTGTAATGGCATATCGCGTTTTTTATCATTGACTAACCGTTTCTTAAATTTTCCAAATTTGTTGAACGGTGAAAGCAGTCTGTTGACTCCGCATTTATCAACATTTTTATGTGAAGCGGTCTGTAAAAGCAGTCGGTAGATAATAAAACCTATATTTTGCTAACATAATCCAAATACCTATTTACATATTATAAAAAAAAGTTTAATTACATTAAATATGATAGAATTTCTTTTGGTGCCGTTTCCTGACTCATTATCAATGCCATTGCTATTGGTAGACTTTGATTTCTTCTTAGGAAAAGAATGAGCCGTCAGTTTTTTCTGTGATTAAAATAAAGTCCTTAGTAGTAACGACACACTTACATTGTAAATTTAACATATTCTAGTCGAATACCTTTTTCCTTTTGAGACATTTTCTCTTTCTGTGAGGCATTATGAACTGATAACATTCATTATTTAGCCTGTTCTCTATAAATAATAATGAATAAAAGAGTAACAGTATAAATCTATATAAATAAATTGCAATATCATTTTCGTACAAATTATCAAATCAAAATATTTTTTCATACTAATTTCATTACCTTGTCTCTTAATGGAAACATCTTTTTATCTTTTTATTATTCTTTAATTACATTTTTTGATATTTTAATACATTTTTAACCAGAATGACTACAGATTTTGACGTCCGACAGCCACAAACAGGATACTTATTTGACAGGGGGACTGTCATTCCTTGGTAACCGTTAATACGATTTTTTATTGAAATCCAAATAGATTGCATATCAAAACAGAGTTGTTGAATACAATGAAGGTGGACTGGGAACAGCAAGATTCGGGAATAGGTAACGTCTGGAAAATAAGGAAATATTTGTAAATAAAGCTAATAAATACCTACTTAAATAATGATTTATTCAATAAAATTTATATCATTCATAAAATTTGAAGATTCCAACAGTTTTGAGAAAAATATTTTTGCATTAAATTACATAATAATAACAATTTGAGAAGTCTCACTCGTAAAGTTCACAGTAAAGACAAAATACAGTCTAGACAATAGTTTACATATATATTTTTTCCCGTCCCGATACCTATGATATTGATTACCCCAACGCTTAGGTCCCCTTTCTTCTCGGAAAAGGAATTTGAGGCTCATCATTTAATGGAGTTACTACAACTCTATACGGTGCGTATATAGATGTGCAAATCTCGGAGAAACTTATAGCTTTATGCGAACTCCTATTTTCATCTCTGAGCTTACAAATACTTCTACCAACAGCACTCAATTTTTTTATAGAATCTGTATTATCTCCACAATTTTGAGGACCTGATAATTTTTGTGTTCCTAGAAGACCTGATTTAGTTTGACTTAATATAATCGAAGGAACTGTGTCTACTTTGGCTACCATTTTATTCTGAACTGATATAGTGGGTCTTAGTATACTAGCTGTTTCTCGCTCCCAATCAAGAGGATCTATATAGCACCTTTTATTACCAACCGATCTATCAATTTTAGGCTTGTCCGTTTTGCGTGCAGATTCTGTACGAAATTTAACAGTACTGTTAGCTTGCTTGGCCTCATCCGGCCGGCAGCATGAGTGAGGTACAATTCGTCGCTTAGATTCGGTAAAGTTTCTTTCCCGCTTTCCTCGATGAGTCCTAGAAGAAAGGGTGGACGTTTTACGTTTTTTGGACGAGCTATTACCAATTCCCGATTTAACGACGGTAATGGCGCGACGTACCGTGAGGGATTCCTTTGGCGCTAGCACAATGCCATCCCTATTTGTCGGCAAAGCGTCATAAGGATTCAGCCATGTTAGAAAGTCCGTGATGATTGGACCTGTATACTCAGGAGGTACTGGTTGGTCTAAGTCTGCATTGAGATCACCTGAAGATGCTCTTGGCTCTGGTGTACTGATAAACTTAGGCTCATGTCTCTTCTCCTTCTTTTTGTACACCTTTTTACCGTTGACAGACAGAGATAGTCCTAAATAAGCGGGAGCTTTTGGTACCACTTGTCGGTATGCTAATTCAAACGTTCCTGTGTCTGCTTCTGGATTGTACCGACGATCTAAAACAACTGGAATATCACGAGTTAACTTCAAAATGTTACTATATCAAATTTTAACTGTTCTAAGCATTGGTTTTTCGCATCGCTTAGTATGCACTAATTAGCATACGCATGCTCAAGTTCGCTTGATTTGTATTACCTTTTATCACGTCCTCAAGACACTGTGGGCATAAGCGAGCCGTAACTGAGGTAGTTGGGGCCAAGTCTGGACTGGAGTTTATTTCTATGAGCCATGGCGTAAAATCGTTTGTGAGCATGAAGTCTGCACCATAGAGTTCGAAGCTATTTTGTCGCTTGTCCATCGTCTCTTGACAGGCGAGCATCGCCCCAATGAGACTTTGCTTGATCCCTGGGTATATTTTCGTATCCCATAATTCATATTTTCCTATTTGTCTACAAATGATAGAATAAAATGATTAGATAAAATTTTAGGGAAAATTCTTGAAGTTTATTTATTCAATTCATACAGTCTACACCATCCTACGTCATAATAAATGTTAAATACCTATGAATTAAATAATAAATTTCAAGCTCATCATAGACATACTAATTAGTTCACCCGAGTTAATTTTTAATGGACGATAGTGCAGGACAAAGGCTTACGAATTTCGGTGTTCATGTAATTGGATTGGAGAATTAGATCATGTAAGTAAGTTATTAGTTTTAATGGTTACCGGAGATAAGCCTTGAAAGTGTGACAGTCCCACATGTTTTCGTCGGGTAATGCTTTGTCACGCTCGTTGTTATTTTTGTACTTTGTCTGCACAGCATTGTTAGTCAAGTGAACCGACTCGTGGTAATTTGACAGACTGAATATTTGAGAACTGAATCGCAAATAACTATCCCTAAAGAAAAACATACATTTAACATGAGCCAGTAAAATTCACATTATAAAATGAATAACTTAATTGTTTAGGTAAATGTACTCACTTATACATCCAAATAGTCAGCGGTTGACAATTTGTAATAAGGAACCATTGCCGGATATCAAATTTTGTGTCGTAGATAACAAGTGGATTTTCTGTAAAAAAGTATCATGGATTGGAATTTTGAGAAATAAGCGATTATTACCACATATACAATAAATAATAGATTTTCCTAAAGTTTTTTTCAGTACCTTACCTTTTTTGGAAAAAAATACAAAACAAAGCTCTCTCTTTCTGTACCTATAACCAATATGACTACAGGAAAGTCCATTATTTTTTTAAATGAAACTAAACGAATTTAATTAAATTGACATTATTATTTAACTACCGGCAGCCCGCAACTTCGTCTCTTTAGTTTTTTGAGAATTCCTCAGAAAGGGACCTCAATTTTTTCCGGGATAAAAAGTATCATAACTATGTCATCCAAATACCTTCGGCCGTTTAAGCGTTATAATTGAAACAAACAAGTCTCACATTTTTAAATCATAGTAGGACTATAAATACCAATATATTTCTGAACGACATATCTAGTCTTCTGAGCGGGTATGTTAATAAGGCCTATGATGTCCTTGATGTTGTTCATGAGTTGGATGCCCCGGCCGCGACATTTGTTGCCCGGCTTCACGATCCAGATGTTCAGAACTCCGTCAATATCGATTTGTGGCCAGAACTTTGTCATAGATGCTAGTACTTTCGTCGCTTTCCTCTCCAATTGCCTGTAAATATCACAAAATGGTTTGAAAATCTCAAAATCCAAAGGAGTTCGTAATATCAAACATATCTACGCGAGGTTTATAAACAACCCATTGCCAATCCCAACTTGATTATTCGGAATGACGCCTTTGGTGTACTTTTTGCCATTCATGTACTTTAACATTTTTCTCTCTCTTGGTAATTACCACGTAATTTGTTTAGTTGTTTATTTTGTACGATTGCATTGATAGAATAGCAAAATCATAAAGGCATATCATTCTTGAGTTTTCAAGAATGATATAGAGTTTTACAACGCAATTCTTTTGCCTAAAATTGTACGTAGGCCACGTACAATTTTTAACAGCTCGATTTCCAACGGAGTCTTCCCGTCAGTTTGGAAGCAAGCCCAAACTATTCCTCTTCCTAAAAGATCGAACCCTCAAACCAACGTCGATTTTCGTCCCATTTCTATCCTCCCTTTTCTGTCTAAGGTTCTTGAACGCCTTATCCATAATCAATTGAATACATTCCTCTCTCGCCACGATCTTTTCAACCCTTTTCAATCCGGTTTCCGTCCTGGCCATAGCACTACGACTGCGTAACTTAAAGTAACTGATGATATACGCTTTGGAATGGATAATGGTCTCCTCACGGTATTAACATTGTTGGACTTTAGCAATGCTTTTAACACTGTCGACTTTGAGGTTCTTTTGGCATTGCTGCGCTCACTTAACGTATCTCCATCGGTGATTGAGTGGTTTCGCAGTTATCTGCTTGGGCGCAGGCAGCGCGTTCGCCTTGAGGAGAAATTTTCTTCATGGAGCGACACGACTGCTGGCGTTCCCCAAGGCGGCGTCTTATCTCCTCTTCTTTTCGCTGTATTAATTAATTCCGTTTCAAACAATATTTCTTCTTCCTACCACCTATATGCAGATGACTTACAAATCTATCGCCAAGCTCCTCTTGGTCAACTTGGTGATGCAGTGCAGGCTACAAACAGTGATCTACATGTGATTTCTGAGTGGAGCAAATCTTTTGGGTTGGAAATAAATCCCTCCAAAACAACTAACATAGTAATTGGTAGTTCTAGAATGTTAGATAGAGTGGACTGGCAGTCACTACCTCCCTATCCCTTTTAATAATCTTAATCTTATCCCTTTTAGCACATCGGTAAAAAACCTAGGATAAACGTTTGACAATTGTATGAGTTGAGGTCCGCAGATACAAGTGGTCAGTCGCAAATTGTATGCTTCAGCAGCGTCACTTAGGAGACTCCGTAATTTACTGCCCATCACCACCAAAATTGCCTTAGCACAGTCTTAATTGCTTCTTATACTTGATTATGCCGACGTCTGCTATCTAGATCTCACGGAGGACCAGCTTAACAAACTTGAGCGACTTCAAAATTTTTGTATCCGTTTCATATTTGGCTTGCGCAAATATGATCATGTTTCTCAATTTCGTTCACAGCTCAAGTGGCTACCTATTCGCCTTCGCCGGAATACTCATATCCTTTCTCTTCTTTACAACATATTGTTCAATCCCAAGTCCCCGCGCTATCTCAAGGAAAGTTTTAATTTCCTGCATAATTCTAACACGTTATCTTTAAGATCATCAGAAAATCTTGCTCTTATGACTCCCGCACAACTTTTTTCCATCGTTCGTTTGCAGTGCAAGCTGTAGCTATGGAATTCTCTTCCGGTTTCGATAAGACGTGCGGAAACTATTATTACATTTAAAAACCGTCTGAATTCCTATTTTCTGACATTGTAATACTTTTATTTTAATATCTGATGTGCTTACAACTGCCTCCTAACTGGACTGGATCAATGTATACGTATATATATATATCTTATATATGTGTATGATGTATGTGTGTATATACTAATATATTATATATTTTACCAGCGATTTACACCGCCGTCTCTCCCACTTCCTTCTAATCCTCTCCATCCAAAGGTTGCCTGGAAGAGATCGCTTTAAGCGATAAGGCCGCCCATTGCATCACGTGTACTAGATGGTTTTGTACTTAATGATCAATGTTTTTTGTGGTGTACAATAAAGAGTTTTTGTATTGTATTGTTTTGTATTGTATTGTATTGTATTGTACAATTTTAGGCAAAATAATTGTTGTGGACTTATAAAATCGGCTCAACTGTTTGTTCTACATACCCTACTGACCTTCAGATTTAACATAAGATCGTTAAGATTTAGGTACCTTATGTTAACATTTTTATCTTCCATAAATTTCGCCTTTTCATGAACCAGAAGATAATGATGGGTCAAAAACTGATCCCACTCATGTTCCCAAATATGCTGCGCTTGGTCTTCAGTGTCATCGATATCCTTATGTGTAAAAAAAGATATGTACTCGTTTAACCTGGTCACAGCAAACTCTATTGCACTAAACGGCACCTTCCCTTGAGCCACAACCAGACTTTGTTCCCCGCCGTTTAGTAACGTATTCGACAGCCATTTGAGGACGCTGATGCATGCTGTTATTCGGAAGTCATCGATAAACTCCTCAAGGCTATCGGAATTGTGTATGTTGTAGCTACGCGGAAACCTCGTTAAAGCCACTCCTGGCTCGGTGTACCAATGCATTTGTGTCAAAGAGGTCGTCAATCCCTCCTTAGTTGTGAAAATAGACCTGCAAAATCTGTTAGAAAGCGGTATGTTTAGCAACACGCAACTTGGTAGTTTAAACTAAAATGTTTCAAGGTCCCTTTATAAATAGAACTGATACCTGCTAATAATAACTTCCTTGTTACTAAGCAACCAGTCGTACTTGTCCCTTTTGGTTGTCCAAAGGAAATCCACGGCATGCTGTTCCATGAATTTGTACAAAATCATCCTTTCGACTTTAGAGAGCTCTTTGCCTGTTGCTTTCTTAAGGTCTAAGTTTGGTGGCGGATGACGAGCCTACAATATCAATTGCATTATTTATCAAAAGTGCCTATATTAATAACTAACTACTATATAACTACATATAATAATGATACCTCGGTAGGGGCTCTACTATAAAAACTAAATTCATGGTACATTTAAATGTTGATATGAAAAGAACGACCAATAAAACCTTAGATTAAAACCGCTTTTTTGTTTTAATCTAAGAATAAAACTGTACATTTTTGCCAAGCACTTTGAATCAGTTGGAATGGACAAACTTTCGAAACAACTGTAGGTGCACGTGGTCCTAGAAATATCTCTCTCTGACTGTTTTGTTTCCGGACAATTGACTTAGATCCATTAACCAACCCACTGTTCTTTGACCCAACCCAATTCTTAGGTGTGACTTGAGGAATGATATTTATAATGAATGACATAAGAGACTGCCCTGCCTGATACTATCTTAGCATATTGTGCTCTGACGAACATAGTTAGGTTAGGTATCTACATTATTGTGATGGAAACCTATTATAACATCTATAAACATTCAAGCTTGTTAAATGGCAATTCATTCGAGGGTCTGAAATGAAATGAAAAATATACTTTATTCAAATTGACTTATTGATAGCTCTTTTGAATAGTCCAATATTTTTTCCTACCACCCATTCAGGACATATTTTTGCTGATAAGAAGAATGGGCGCAAGAAACTTGTCAACATTTAACAGAAGTTGCAAAAAATCATGTCGCTACTAATACAATTAATTATGACTTTACACGAATAAGTGGTTTCGTGCGTCTGCTAACCATTAACTGTTATAAAAATGGTATTCAGTTAATTCTAGCAGTCTCGGACGTAAACTATCTTGTTTAGTAGAAGGCTAACAACCTGAAAATAAAATTTGTAATAATAACCTTGGATTTCAGCAAGTTCAAAGTAAGTTTTCATGAGGATATAGGTACCTACCTACATAAAGATTTAAAAAGATCTAAAAGATTTAAAAATAATGTTGATATCTTGCTTGTCCCGCTGCAGATCACAAGCATTCTGTACGTTAATCGACCATACACAATGGAGTAAACGATAGGGAATAAAATAATTATATGATCACAGCGCTTCTTTGATGTAAGTATGCATAATAATATTGTTGCTTATGATACGATTTTCTTACTTATTATATAGTACCGACGATCCCGAAAACACTAGGTTTTTGTTCATTTATATAAGGGAAATTAGTCATTCAACATCAAATAACTGGAGGCGGTACAATATTTAATGTTAAAACGACGACTGATCACACATATATAAATGGCCTACCAAATAACACTGCCCTAGCTAATGTTAAACGTAAGTGGAATCCAAAATGGTCCAAAGCAAAGGCAAAGATTACCGATGTAAATGAGATATTTTCCGCCTAAGGTAACCTTTAGCATGTTATGGTCAATATGATTGACAATCTAGAATCAACATCACAATTCATAACGGTCCGAGATATGAGAATAATGTTATTAGGATGCAATTTTCTTTCTATCGATAAGAAACTTCATACTAATAAAATACTTCTGCGGGTGATGTTTTGGGTCCCATTTTCAGGCTCCTCATATAACTGAAATGTTGGTCATATTTTAATTATTATTTAACCAAGAATATTGATAAACCTCTGTTATGTATTAATTTTCGGCTTGCAAACTAAATATCTCTTAAATTTATGTTTATCTTTAATAAACGCTTAAAACCTGTTTCCACGCATTACACTCGTGGGCGTGGAAGAATAAGCAACAAAAGCTTGATATTTTCATGATACAATTTAATATTAATTACTTACCTTGTTTGGTTCATATTTTTCAAGCCAACCCCTATCTAGCAACGCCCTGCGGACAGCCGGGAAACCACCGCCTTTGATCATAAAAACTTTACGCTCCTTCATGGCAGCGTCAGCTAATTTTTTGAGCTCATTCCATCTGTCTGTGCTTACCCAACTCTTGTATTGCTTTAGTTGCTCATTAGAAGTCGTCGTTTCTGACAAAAATAATTATAAATAGACTTTAATTTATTTTTTGAAGGTCTACAGGTATGCGTCATTATTCCGTATACTAGCATTTTCTAAAGCTGTACTTTTTTTAGGAGTGTCATATTTCAAATTTACACTTTTGCGTAAAGTTATATAGGGATTTAGGGATAGTTGGTCCTATTGACGATTTCAACCTGCGTCTTCGATCTAGATTCGAACGAACGAACTCAAAATCGAAGTAAGAGATACCCAATCCATAAAAATCTGTCAGCCTTTGAGGCTCTGCCAGCCCCGATTTGTTTCAAAATCATTTTCGTATAGGACTGAGAAAGTTTCATGTAAACACGTTACATGATTACACTGGTTATTACAATTCTACAAACAAGCTTTAATCCTTTATAGTGTCTTTTAATCCACGGCATATTCATAAAATGTGGTTTCCTCACGACACCTGTAAAGTTCCTTCTACTTCTCGCGGAAAAATAAAAATCACAAAAAATATCAAGGTATAAAATATAACTATAACCGGGGAACGTGTTCCCAAAAAACTTAATTACCATAATAATGATCATGATTTCTGCACTCCCGGTAAATCACACCACTTGTGGGTTCCATGATTGCAAATCAACTGATCGAAATGCGAATGGTTTCTAAGAGTTAACAAATTCGTAGGCCGCAGTTAAATGCCAATAACCCCTGCGTTAGATCGGAACTGATAAGTCATCTGGCAATTATATTATAAAGTTAAGCTTTTAGGTAGATGTCAAAACCAAGCGCAAGGGGTGTCAAAATTATAGTGATATTTCTGATGGGTATTAAGGATACCTGTCCCCGTAGCACGAGCACCACATCACCACACTATACATTATATCACGTTTTTTATGGCGTCTAACTGTCAAACTTCATAATAATTTGACAATTGAGCGTGATATAAACGCGTTATATATCATACCGCGGTACTCATGCTAGAGGGGCTAGGAGGTTAAGATAACTATGTTAAATGCCGCAATCATTACACTCATCATCATCATGGAGCACCTTCCCTATGGATAGAACAGGGAGATTGGGCCAAGGCAAGGGTTACCATTTAGGAATTTCAAAAGTCCTGACAAAAATCCTGACATTTCAATAATAGTCCGGACTTTTTAGTCATAAAATGGTACCATTACTCACTTAGTTACAAGGGTATGGTATTAAAATCAATATATGTACTTTTATTATTCATATTCAATGTAATTTAAAAATCCGGATAATTTTATAGTCTAAAAGTCCGGATATGTCCGGACTAATCCGGACAGATGGTAACCCTATCCGAGACCCACCACACGTGCCCAGTGCGGTTTGATAGGTTCTAGTCGTTAGAATCTGATGCAGCCGAGACCAACGGTTTACCGTGCCTTCTAAAGCACGGAGGAGCTTGAAAAAATCATTTTTTGGTCCCCCATCCAATGACCAACCATTGCGTAAGTTGATGATTAACTTCCACACAAACGCGGTATGCTAACCATCTGCACCAACGAGCTCCTCCATTATATTAGTCAGATTATGCAGACTATGAAAATATACAATTCGACCGGGGTGCAATGGAATGAAAGTTTATGTTGAAAAGCCAACAAGTTTAATCACGTGTGCAATCATACAACATTGTACAATATTTTTAATATTTTTCGGCTGCTATTTTGTGTAATGCTTTTTCACACCCAGGTTGGTTTGCACTCCATTTCGAGCGGTGGTTGCAAGTTAGTTCCTATCCCTTATTTCTCTCGGTAATATTATATATTATTACCGTGGTATAGCGTATGTTGTAATTAAAATAAGAATGACCTGGGTGGTGATTAGAATCACCTTTAATCACTTTAAGGGAGCAATAACCACCATTTACCTAACCACGTGTTAGTCAATTATTATTCATAAATTATTATAATAGGTAATCTATGAATAAAAAGGAATAGGTATAATATAATAAAGATACATAATAATATTCAGATTTTACCTGGTCCATGGTCCGACTTGGAGAACGAGACAGCGCTCAAAGGTCGTAGCTCCTTTTTGTTCGTACTGTCCTTGTGCAACTTCGAGTCTGACACGCTCTCCTCAAGCTCCATCGTTACAGCCATGAGCCTCGGTTATCCTTCAGAATCCTGCAACAGTGCAACAATTCAACCCTTGCCAACATTTTCACCTTACGAGCGTGCGGGTGGAACGGAAGACGGCGCCGGACTGGATGTAACGTCCGCCATCGCCAGTGCAATAACCCACTTTGATATTCAACCTACTTTTGAAGTCCGAAGCTATCAGCCATCCGCGCGCATCCCCGCCTGGCACCTGCTTGTATGAGTGACGTCACGGACTCGCGGAGGTACCGCAAATCAACCTGTACCTACACGCGGAAATTAATAAACCCAAATTACTCTTACCTCCTGTAACCAGGTCGCCACTAAGAAAACTAGGTTAAAAGGAACGCAATGGCGTCATAAAAATAATAATGTAAATAATTAAGGTATTAAAATATACTACAAATTTATTTTAAAGCTGGTTGACATTTTCAATTATGGAAATTTAATTACATTTTCCTTGATAAATTGCGTAATACCTAACATGTTTTGATTGAAGCAACAATGCAAAGAGTTTGGCACAATGATAGATAATGATTAACCTACATACATAACAAAAAGGGTAAACAGGGCGAGTAGGACCAAAGAGTATATACCTAATATACCTATCTACCTATCTACTAATCAGATTCTCAAATTAATCATTAATCGAAGGATCAGATTCGATCAAAACCACATGAAAACTGGAACATTAGATATCACAAAAGATGATGATAGATGATATAACCTTAGTGCCCCCCCCCCCCCCCCCCTTTTTTTTTAACGCTAGTAAAAAATACTTTTTACTGACGACGGCGCCTATAAGAGGCACACCGCCGAACAGACCTCACATCTGGCTCCCGTAAGTCTTTCGAACCCCCCAGTGGCTGCCCACCGAGGACCCCGCAACTCTTACGGGTGCTTTACGGCATAATATCCGCTAAAAAAGTCCTGCGAATACCTTCTAAACTGCTTAATGTGAAGCCACCGGGTCCCCATTTAGGGATTCTTCCACGACTCCACACCCAGCAGCTTCTCGGCCTCGCCGGGGCTCCACGGCAGGGGTCTCCCGAGGTATTAAGAGGACCCCGCAGAAGTGTGCAGGATGGCCCGCTCGTGGGGGCTGAGTACGCGGCCTAGCGCCCACCGTACCGCCACCCGTTCGCTGTGGATGGCTACTTGGGCGTACCCGTGTAGCTCCCTCTGCCGCCCCCACTATGCTGGACAGAACTGCAAGAGGGGGCCACCATTCGCTGCGCCTTCTTTTGCGCTGGCGCCTGTGTTTTCGCTACCTCCGACACCGGGGCTACTCCTGGGCGTGCATCCTTTTTTTTCCCCTTCTTTCACCTTAGTGCTCCCTAGTAAAATGAAAACCTTAATTGGCCATCTTATACACAAGTACAAGTAACAGCACATCAAATTACCGCAAACTTAATGAAAATATTACTAGAAAAAAATCCACGCGAACGAGGCAGCGGACTCGAACCCGCACCCTTCGCTATCCGGGCGAATGCACTGGCCATTGCTATGCTACTGCTGTCCTGATGGCCGTGTCGAATTCCGAATTCTTTCTAGCCTTTCTTAAGCTGCAAGGCAGCGTATATCTCTTCGCATTGTAGGTGACCCACAATGTGAATTTTTATATTTTTAGTTTTTAATATTAGTCAACTAGACCAGGGTCGATAATTTTTGAGACCAAAAAAAAATACAGTAGGATGAAACCCATTGGAAAAGGTAGAGAACATAACAAAAATGAAAGGAAAATAGATATTTTGACGTGAGAATTTTCGATTGAAAATTAGGGTGCTTTTTCGATATTAAGTGAAAATAAGGTGAAAAAATGAATATTTTAAATCAAAAATTTACTGTATGTTTGGGACATACAAAGGTAAGTTTTCACTAAAATTTCGTGAAAAAATAAATATTTTGCAAAAAATAAAAAACCAAAAACTCGGTTATTCGAATTTTTCACATAAATTTTGATGTTATGTGAAAAAAGTGTTGATACAAAAGTTGTAGATCTTCTTTTTTTATGACCTTTTGTTTTCATAGGACTTGCAGTTTTACCCGAAATTGTTACGACGGACGAGGTGCAGGCGGTGGCAGCCAAAGAGAGTTGCCAGGCTGACAGGGTGGTGGTAGGGGAGATACTCCCTGGACCAGGAGGCAGGAGGGTCGCCACCGTGAGGTGCCCGGTCGGTGCGGCCAAAAAGGTGGCTGTAGGCGAGATGCTGAAGCCGGGATAGAGCCTCGCTCTGGTGAGAGTCCTGGGCCCCCCACCTTCGCATTGTTACAGGTGCATGGGTAGGGGTCTTGCTGCGTCTAACTGGCCATCCAAAGTGGACCGCAGCAACCTGTGCTTCAGGTGTGGGAAGGCGGGAGACAGGCAAGGGCAGCGACGTGCCCTGCCCCGTCCCTATGCGCGGTGTGCGCTGCCCCGTCCCTATGCGCGCTGTGCGTGGACAGTGGCCGGCCTGCTGACCACGTCATAGGAAGCAGGAGGTGCGACCCTCCGGTTACCCGGGGCAAGCCCCCGGAGAAAGTGGTCGCTGGAACGTCGGCGCCCGGACGGGTGCCCTCAGAGGGGGGATGTCCGAGTAGCCTAGGCCGCTTGGACTCCCCAACTCAGTCGCCCGCGTCTTCTCCATCTTCTCCTAGAAGGGATGAGGAGACGCGGGCGACCAGGAGAAAAGGATGGGGAGAATTTCGCTCCTTCTCCCGCTCCCCCAGGAACGGTGGCCCCTCTCTTGTAGTTCTGTCCTGCAAAGAGGGGTGGCGGAGAGCTACACGAGTACGCCCATAAAGCCATCCGCATCGGACGGGGGGCGGTACGGTGGGCACTAGGCCACGTACCCAGCCTCCACGCGCGGGCCATCCTGCGCACGTCTGCGGGGTCCCCGTAAAACCTCGGAAGCCCCTTCCGTGGAGCCCCGGCGAGGCCGGGAAGCTGCTGGGTGCGGAGTAGCGGAAGAATCCCTAAACGGGGACCCCGCGGCTTCGCGGATATTATGCCGTAAAGCGCCCGTAAGAATTGCGGGGTCCTCGGTGGTCAGCCACTGGGGGGTTCGAAAGACTTGCGGGAGCCAGGTGTGAGGACCTTTCGGCGGTGTGCCTCTTAAAGGCGCCGTCGTCTGTAAAAAGATTTTTTACCTGCGTTATAAAAGTTTTACCGGAAATCGAGATTAACCGTTTTTTACCCTTAAAAACTCACCCCCTTCCCGACCTCAGATCGCCCGTTATTTATTTTTCCTTTCATTTTTGTTATATTCTATACCTTTTCCAATGGGTTTCATCCTACTATTTTTTTTTTCACATTTTTACCATTTTTAAAATTATCTACCCTGGTCTAAATAGCTTTACAAATATTAAACATAAATTTGAAAGAAAAATCAGCAACTATAGTTATATTTTTTCTAAGCACGTAATTACTCCATGCTTTAAATTTAAAGAAAATATTATTAGAAAAAAATCCACGCGGACTAGGCAGCAGACGGGACTCCAACCCGCGCCCTTAGCTATCCGGGCCGTATCATATACCTCAAACTGTCAAATTTCCCATTGAATAATAAATTTTGTTGTTTGGAAATAAAAGAAGAAGTCAGGTGGTTTGAATACCATGATGTGTCGACTGTATATAGAATCATACTGGGTGTTTGGGTGTTTACCCTAACAAGCCAAAATGCAGCCATGTTAACATGTCTATGTAATATTTAGTTTTTGGTCACCCATCCAATACAAAGTTTGTGAACTTTTACAATAGCAAGCCGAATGCGCTAACCACCTTCGCCATCGAGCGATGTAGATGAAACATTATATCAATGCCCAAATTTTGTAATTTCTTCATTCTAATTACGATCTCATACTAAACATACAAGGTTCAATAACAATTGCGAACATTTCACAAATAAGGGAAGTTCACTGCGCACTCCTACTATACGAATAAAAAGTATTTTAGGAAGGCAGGAGTGACAAGAATCACTAAAAACAAGTTTGTTTTTTTCCAAAATAAAACTAGATAGTTATTATCTACTTATCTACATGACGTAGGTAATCAACATTAATATAATTACAAAAAGTCACTTCTCGAGCATTAGCAAAATCCGTCACTCACTTAAATACTATGTTCAATGCTTGTTAACGATTTTGTCCATCGACGCGTTGAGCGAAGATAGATTTTAAGTATTTTTGGTTTTGAAAATGTTTCATTGTGTGCTACTGTGACTGGCAATGTGAGGTAAGGCGAAAGTGATTCTCATTTAAACTTTATTTTCTATTTAGCCCAAGCAATAGAGTAAATCAAAATAACAAATATTGCCGCACTCATAGATAAATGATTCATGAGACCAATCATTCATCATAGATGAATGAAAATAATCATTCATCATAAATGAATAAAGATGAATGAACACAATGAATTACAGATGTTAAGGTAGGTCGTAAGAAGCTTATGTGTGTATTCCGTAATATATACCAGTATAATGACCAGTGCTAATGACGTCATGAATCGACGCTATTACTGGTGAATAGGGTATTTGACAAGTTTTGGAAAACGATCTCACGTTACTTACTAATGTTTATGGAGTCCATAAAAAGATATTCGTCATTCTGTTGTGTATTTCAGTAAAAAAAAATCAAAAACTCAATTTTCAAGTTGCCACGAAAATGTTTCTCTAGGCAATATGGCGTCTAACTGCTGTGTGATGTCACACGACTGACATTAAAACGTCAAACGATACAATGTAATGTCACTTTGACCGGAAGTTTACTAGTGTCTGACATCATTTTAAGCTCCGCCAACCCCAGGCGTTTTCAATCACGTGACAATAGATATGAAAACTATTATCTTTTTCGTGGGTTTTTAGTAAAATTATGAATATTTTTTCTGTAATAATAGTAAAATACCCTATTGTTTCGAAATATAATGGCCAGTGCACTGACGTCATAAATCGACGAAATATTAAAAATAGTGTGAATAAAGAAGATTTTTTACTCACCTCATCAATTAAAAGGAATTATTTTTGTTC